TGTGTGTGTGTGTGTGTGTGTGTGTGTGTGTGTGTGTGTGTGTGTGTGTGTGTGTATACATGTGTGGAAGCTACATATCAATCAATCTCATCTATGGTCACAAGCCATTCACCTCATCTCTTGAGACTGGGTATCTTACAGAACTTGGGGATCACAGATTAGGCTGGGCGGGCTGGCTGGAGATTCTCAGGGCTCCTCGTGTCTCTGCCTCCCCAGTGCTGGGATTAAAAGAGCACACTAACATGCCTGGCTTTAATGTGGGTGCTTGAGGTTGAACTCAAGTCCTCATGTGTGCACAGCAAGCTCTCAAATGACTCAGCCCTCTCTGCAGCCACTGTATACAATGCAAGAACCCTTTAACTAAAGGAGTCTGGATGCTTAGGTAATGTCATGTTTTGTTGTGCTGGGCACCAAAGCCAGTTCTCACACAGCTGAGTATGTGCTTCTACCACTGAAATGTACAGTAAGTGGCCTAACTTCTAAACATAAAGCTATTAAGTTAGCGGCAAAGAAATCAAATACTTACTATTTTCAGTAAGCTTACTGGAGTGCACATACCTCTTTGTGTTTAGATAGATCCAGCCCAAACTGAGCTGGTCCAGCAGTTAAGACTACCCTGCCAAAAAACGGGTGGGAAATAATTTGTACAGCTCGTGGAGGTAGCTGCTGCTCTTTCTGTTGCTGACTGGACAGCTCAATCATCTCCTGCATGAACCGCAACCCATCTTCAGCATCAATTGAACTAGCAGCCTAGAAAGAAACAGACTCAGTTTAGCTTAGCTTTCCTCCTGTAAACTTTCCCATCTTTTTAACTTCCTAAATTACAGACTTCTGCATGGAATTTCTCTCCTTTTAGTTTACTCAATATTTACAATCTAACTTGCCCTCAATACACTACTTTCAGGAATTGAATATGCTGAAAACAATTATCTGTAACTTTTCTCAATGTCTCCTTTCCACTACATAAGCCACCTTTGACGGAGATTTGAAACTGTGCTCATATCAAATGCTCATGTACCCTTTTGCTTGCTTACCTCCCGCATATTCAGTAAGATTCCAAACATGAACTGAGTACCTACTCTGTCCCCACACCTACTGAAGCAGACAGTGTTTAAATTTGTATCTACTGGAGAAAGACATATAAGAGTTAATTATGTTAAAAAGTCTAAAGTGAAGAAGCACAACGGAGTAATTGATTCTGCTTGTGTATAACTGAGAACTGAGTCTCAACCAAGGAGAAGTTGAAGATCATCATAGGAAAAAGTAAAATGTATTCTAAACACTTAGCAAAAAAAAAAATAAAAATAAAAATAAAAAAAGAAGAGGGGAGGGTTTGCTGTAGGGAGTTGGAGTGCAGAAAGACATTGAGAGTTCAGTCCCACTCTGAAATTTCTAGCCCTGGAAAGGGCTCAGAGAACGACGAGTTACTGACATGGAAAACACAGAAGAGAGCTGAGGTAAGCACAGAAAAGCAATAGAGAATGACAATTCAAGTGAGAGTGGATGGAGGCTGAGAGGTAGAATTCACAGCAGATATACTAAAGAAGGGTCTAGGATTAAAGCTCGGAATGAGTGCCATATGCATGTGTCCAAGAAGTCATCTGCTAAAGCTAGCAGCAGAAACAGAAGACAGATGGAGAAGAGAACAGAATAAAAAGAATGTCATCTAGAGTCTTAACCTGCCCTACACTAGGTGGGTGTGAGGGAAGCCCAGCTACAAAGGAATCTAGAAGGCAAAGAGCAAGAACTGAAAAGGAACTATGTTGCTGGAACACCTTGGGAACCAAAAAGAAAAAAAAAATGTTTTAAGAAGAGGAAAATCAGGAGTTACTGAAGAGTTAAATTGTATTAATGATGAAGAGACCACTGGAGGCCACTACTTCATTGGTGGCCTAAGTAAAAGCATTAGAGATGCCACACTCACAATTAAGGACCACAGGACACAGGGATACTCTTTGTGGGGGGAGACTGTTAAATTGGAAGATGTAGATGGCAAGAAAATAGAGAAAATTTTAAGGGAAAGGTGAGGTTCTGAGAATTCTCTGAATTAGAGAGTAAACACACATTGTCTGATGTGTGAGTGTGCTTCTAGCTTCTATTTACTCAGAATACTATGTTATTCAGAATCAATGTGCTAGTAAGGTAAAAACCTTTAAAGGCTGCATGCTATAAAAACTCTAAATTAAAAACCAATACAAATTTATCTAAAAGGTAGGATGGTATCTTTTTCAGATAAAAATATATGCAATGCTTGATATCTGTGATGAATAAAATACCTAGATTCAGTACTTTTTTGAAAACTAAAATAGTGAAAAATATTATTATATGAAGATTGAAATTAACCATTAACTCAAAATAAATTAATGGAAAGACAATGAACCGAGGAAGAAAATTTAGATTTACAACCTATCCTTTGACTGTATTGATGTAAACAAATTATCCCAACTGGTTACATGGAATCAGGATGTTTCCAAAAGACTTCCGTGTATGTTTACTCCTAAAGTTCACAGCATCAAATGCCATTGCCCTATTCAAGCTAAAGAGCAAGAGACAGTACCTAGCCCTTACAGCAATGTCTTACTTGGATTGCATGTTGGACCAGCTGGACTCGCCCATCTTTGAGGTGAATCAAACTCACCCCCATCTTCTTCAGGATTTCTAAATGTTCAGGGTTAGTGGCCATAAAATCTCTGGCTCTCAGAGGAGGTTGAGCTCCACTTCTCAAACTCTCCTCTCTGCTGAAAAGAATCAGAAGTAAGGCTTACAACTACACATTACCAGCAGTGAAACAGAAAAATCAAATAAGAGTAATCTTGGTAGATATTTGCAAAACTGCTAATTTTAGAACTGGTGACACTGCAGCAATTTATTTTCCTATGCATACTTTTGAGTATTAACAAACTGTTCCACTCTCATATGTGTATTTTAGTAAACTAGACTGTGTATATGTCTTTTTCTAAAAAACTTGTTTTACTCATATTGTTTTCAGTTCTAATTTTTAAAAACTATATGCACATGGGTGATTTGTGTGCATGTATGTCTGCATACCATGTGCATGAAGTGCCCTTCAAAGACAAAAGAGTGTACCGCACCCACTGGGACTGAAGTTACAGTCGTGAGCTGGCATGTGAGTATGGGGAATTGAACCCAGGTCCTCTGGAAGGAAGAACAGACAGTGCTCTTAACCACTGAGCCATCTCTCCAGCCCCTAGAGAGCATTTTCTTATACATATAAGACAAAATAGATGATGAATCTCTTGTGTCTAAAAATGAGCTAGAGAAATTAAAAAGCTATTATATACTATCTGCTATCAAACAATACATAAAAGTTCACATAATGATTTTTATTAAAAAATAAAAATAAACTACATACTCCAATATCTCTGATGTAGGTGAAAGTCTTTTTGACTATTGCTACAAATATAAAACAATACATCTTACACTCTGATGATGCCTCTGGGACAGCTCTTATCCACCACGTTTTTCAAGGGTTCACGGATGCTCTGAGCATACAATGGATCATTAGGAAAAAGAATCTGCGTGTTTGGACAAGTCCAATCAAAATTACTATCATCCAGTTCTGTGTATTCTGAGGTCTAGAACATAAAAAGAATTATGTAACTAATAATAATAGTGTTACTTAATATTATGAGTAAAAACAAAATATTCTTACACACAAGTGATGCCCTAAAAGAAAATGAGACAATCTTGCAAGCATGTCCCTGCTACCAGGCACATATTAACTGAACTTTAATTATGGGTTGCTTCATACTTAATAAAGCAAATATATGGAAGTGAAAGGTGAGGAAGGCATTTAATTTAGAACTCACTGTGTTCTTCTTCGAGATGCTTCGATTTGTGGTAGAGAGCCAGAGAGGTAATAGATGAGCTTCTGTTGTAAAGATGTAGTCTTCTATGTCAAAAATAATGTCTTCTTTGTCAGCAAATAACAGGTAGAGATATTTAAACATTTCAGCCAAGAAAAATGAATCCATTCTAAATTGAAAAGTCACAAATAAATATTTAAAAATCCAAGTATCAATTATAGTTTCAGGATTATTCAAACAGCCAAAGAACTAAAGAGTGTTTCAATCCTTCACTGTCAAAATAACCTGAACTCAAGTTTAATGCAATGGCATAAAACACCAGAGGAGCTGCCTACTACATGGGTCCATAATCCTATCAAAAATTGACATGAGCCTTTTAACAGGCTTTCTACAATGGAGAATACGGCAACTCAATCCAAATGCAGTTTACTGATGAGTCCCATATAAGAATCTTCAAGTCATCTTCTCACATGGATATGGCACATCACACAGATGACACTTGTTACACAAGCATTTAAGAAATGAATAAGGCTTTAAAGGCAAAAGAAATCATAAAAAGTTCCATAAAAATGAACACAAAATCACAGGACAGCAGGCAGAACTGCTGTCTTTTATTTACTTGTTTGTTTATTCACAGAGGAATGAAGGGGGAAGAATGCACATGCCTTTACAGATAGTTTAATGTTACCACATTTTAGAAAAAAGTAAATAGGGAACAGATGGAATTGTAGCATCAAATTTAAGTAAATGTATTTCCTCCCATAACTAGGCACCCAAGGCTTTGACGATAAAAAACGCCTGCAGTTCACTTAACAGGTTGAATTGTGTCACAGTTCTAGCCAAGCTCGATTCCTGGCTCATCAAAGGTCCTCCATAGATGCTTACTAAATTGAATGCAAGTTAAAAGGGCATTACTAAAGAAGGAAGGGAGTGGTAAAGAACTGGGCTTTGAAGATGAAGCTCTTCCACTAAAGAGATCTCTGGCCATTGAGGCATTACCTAAAGACTGTGGCTTCTGCTTCCTGTTCTGCAAAAAGAACAAAATAGCAGACTTCCGCATGAAGTGAAATAGCAGCTCCATTATTCCTATATCTGAACAACTGTGTGGGTATACGTGTAGGGTGAGAGGCTGACAGAGGTGTATTCTATCACTCCCCATCTTATTTTTGAAACAAAGTCTACCACTGCACCTGGAACTAGTCAGTTGACTAGAACAGGTGGACAGTGAGCTCTGGGTGTCCTGCTTCTGCCCCTGCAACTCTGGGGTTACAGGCACAACTGAGCATGCCTGGCCTTTCCTGTGGTGCTGGGGATCACACTGGAGTCCTCACTTCATCCACTGAGCCATCTCCTGGCTATGATATTTTAAAACTCTGTGGCCTATTTCACATATAAATCTTGTTAGAAAAACACTGTCCTGTTAAGTCTGTAATACACTTATTATAATTCAACCTTCCTGAACACTTTGAAAACTGTAGACTTATAGGTAGATTTATGAGTAATAACAGCAATATTGGGCAAATTTGTGAACTGATTAGAAAACACATTTTTTAAGCATTTAGAAAAGAGTAAGACATAGATGGGTCACTATCTATAGGCTCCAGATGATCTAGTTGTATTTAAAGCCAGAAGCATATATACAAATGCAAATGCAAAGGCATTAACTCTGTCTTACATGACCACCAAATTGCTCAGGGTTATTTTAGGCACGTTACAGCAGGGTCTTGAAAAGATTTTCAGGGTTTTTGTTTGTGTGTATGTAGGGGGTCATTTGTTAGCATATATTCACATATTACTAGAAAAATACAAGTATTATCCTCTTCAAAAATTTGTGTTTATGAGTGTTGTGTATGGATGCCTGAGACCTACAGGATAATGTCAATAGATTTATCACTAAGAGTTCTCAAGTGCTAGGTAGGGGGCACTGGTCTTAATCCCAACCAAAATTCTTCCTCACCATGTGGATGGAAATAAATTATATTTTTCTATGATGCAAGATGCTGAAGACTGGCAGACCAGCCAAAAGACTCCTGAGATGATATTTAAACCCAAAACTTTGCCCATGAACAAAAATGAAAACTCCACCGGATAAATACAAAGTTCTAAATTTATGCTTTAAAAAGACAGCTGGACACAGTGGCACACGTCTGTAATCCCAACACTCGGGGAGGCAGAGGCAGGCAGATCTCAGTATGTTTGAGGCTAGCCTGGCCTACAAAGTGAGTCTAGGACAGCCAAGGCTACACAGAGAAACCCTGTCTTGTAAAACCAAAACCAAAACCAAAAAAACAAAAACAAAAACAAACAAACAAACAAAAAAACCAAAACAAAAGCAGCTTCTCAGGATCAAGGTAGAAAACGTTTATTAGCAGCCTAGAGTTAAGTATCTGAGACTAGCTGGGATTTGTCACAAATTCAGTGTGAGCTGAACAAAATATAGTTACTGAAACAAAATTAAGGACAGATAATAATACATTATAATGAAGACCACAGTTTGGGCCAAATGCATCTGAGAGGTCAAATGCTCCCGTGTGAAACCCTGAGTTAATGAAATGGTATTCAGAAGGATAGAAGGTATACACACATATCAGCCCCTCATCCCGTTAGCAACACTTGGCCTGACTCCAGATGACTACAGTGTTATTGTGCTGGCCATATCCTGAGTATAATTAGTGCTAAATATGTGTGTATGCATGCAGTTTTGTTTCAAAGCAGGGGATGAAATCCAGGACTTAACACAAGTTAGGTAGGTGTTCACCAAGCTACACCCCCAATTCATATGATTCAAGAGATATTCTACACATTGGACTACAATCAGAAAGGAGCAAAGGTGGTGGTAACAAGTATAGCAACAATGTCATAAAAGGAGTGTCTGGTAACAAGGAGGGAGAAAAGAAGAAAAAATGAAACCTCTTAACACAGTGCATGTCCAGTTTGTACCACACTTATCACATGCCTCTAACATCTTCCCACAACCACAAAACACTGGAGGGGCAGGAGTGGGTCTAATCTATCTTTGTACTTAACTGCTGTTCTTTGAATAAATGCTGCTACAACATGGCTGTCTATGCTACTGTACTGACAGGAATTCTCACCGAGCCTTAGCAAATGCTTTAGAACTAGTTCTCTAATTTCTTCCCCTTGTGTTCTTCATCATTAAAAATGAGGATTATATAGCCAAGCACAGTGGTGCACGCCTTTAATGCCAGCACTTGGGAGGTAGAGGCAGGCAGATCTCTGTGAGTTTGAGGCCAGTCTGGTCTACAAAACAAGTCCAGAACAGCCAGGGCTACACAGAGAAACAAACAAACAGGATTATAAAGAATTTATACTCCCAAGGGCCGCTGGCTCAAACGAGTTAAACACATACGGTGCTCAGAAGAGCAGCTGGAGTGCAGGGCCGTGTCTGCGTTCCTTTTCTGCTGTTATTTGTATGTCCACTTCCAAAAGCCTAGCTTTTCCTCCTCAGCTGCAGTCGGCGGGGGGGTGGGGTGGGGGTGTCCCCAAGCCCAATTAGCTGTTCCTGAAACACTCTGAGAGAGGGACCAAGAGCCAGTGCTGAGATGTTGAGTTCCATCTTTCTCATGATTTCAGTCCCTTTGCCTAAAGCGGTTTTTCACTTTGTCTCCTAACTCTTGCTCGTCTGTCAGGACTCAGCATTTTCCAGAAACATTTCAGAAGACATCACGCCCCACCTTGTATTCTCATGCCCCTTTCCAATGGTTTACAGCACATCTGAAGAATGTTTATACGTGCTTGTCTTCACTGATTCAAAGGCTCAAAGGACATGCCTTTATTTGCCTAATCTTTAAAATTGGTATAATGTTGGCACATAATGGGGTCTCAGGAGCTATGAAATGAATGTTTGCTAGCCAAATGAAAAAACAAGCTTTAGCGGCCATTCAGAGATACGAAGACTACGGAAGTGATCTTGGGACAGCAGGAACGTTAGTGACGACCACACTGGTCAGTGTATGTGCCCTTATCACTTGCGTACTTCACGACACCACGTCTAATAGCCAATGTAACCTACACCAGCACTGGTCTCCCCGCCAGGGGAAGACTCAAAGCACACACACTGGCCATGATGATGTTGCTGCAGAATTCTTGACTGAATACAAAACAATCCAGCTCTTTTGCTATTTTGATAAATTCTCTTACATGATATTTACGAAACCATTATAGCACAGGAGACAATGTTTCAACTGTCCCTAATAATAGGTTCTGATATATAATATTCACATATCTACTTAAAAAGCATCTGAGTACCTACTGCAAAACAGGCACTATGACAAAAAACAAACAAACAAACAAATAAAAAACATGGCTTTTCAAACAACTGTTAATGAGCAGATCCAAGAGTTTTTAAAAAACAAAACCAAGCACAATGAACTGAAGTTTGCATCCTCAAGAGCTCTAACATTCAGTTTCTCTGAACCCTCAAGTATTTTGTGCTGTGTCCCTTGCTAAGAAAAGGGTAGCAGTGTTTGTTTACCTGTCCTCATGACTCCCCGTGCGAACATCTTTCATGGCAGCAAAGCCGCAAGGCACTCGAGCATATTTATTCAAATTTTCAATGAGTGTTTTCCCTACTTCAAGGTAGTAAGGGTCTCCTGTAGCCTATTAAAAAGGAGAATATATGTATATAGAGACATAGCATCTATGCTGCTATAAACCTATTCATTCATTCCTCCAATAATTACTGAGTGCCTACCAGACCAGGCCTTGTGTCAGGCATTAGTACACGTTACACAGCACATAGGCACACCATGGATCTGATTTACAGAATTTCACACAATTGAAACTGTAGACCCCAGCCTTTAAGCCTTTACACTTCTCAATGCTCAAAAGAGCTCCTTCGTTGAAGGGAGAAGACTTGCTTTAGAATGCAGATCCACAATATAAAATTTCCTTTTAAAGAAATCTTTACAGAAATGGGTTTTCTGTTGTTGCTGTCTGTTTTAGTTTCCTTTTTTATTCATGTCACCCCTCTTCTTTGCAGCAGAGATGTTTACGGTGTTGAAGAGGGGCTCATTTATAACAGAGTTGGGACCTCAATTTCCCATGTCTGCTGTTTGCAGCTACAACCTCTACCTCAGGTCTTCAGGAGTGCATTTGAAAAGGCATTATGTTCACATCAAATCTTACACCCTTCTATAATTTTATGGGCTAAATAAATGCAAATCATTATATAGCCAACCATTATAACATTAAATACTAATTTTTATTATAAAAGAGCAAGAGAGATAACAAAAAGTAGGGGAAAAGCCAAATGTGTTAAGTTAGCTTACTTTATATAAGAAGTAGGTACTTTCTGCAAACTCTGGCCTTAAAGGATGCTGAGCCCAATGGACCCTGAAATCTGTAGTAAATGCCTGTACAGAACAACATATTCGTAAGCATAAAAATGTGACTAAAAAATAAAAAGCAATTCTAGAATATAAAGCAATTATGTATAAAAGGTAAAAGTAATTAATAAACAAGTCATGGTGAAATTTCATACATAAACTACTGAAACTACTGACTGTTGTTACTAAAATACTAACTCATTGTTAGAAAAGCTGCTTAACCAAGCTTAGTGAGGTGTTGCTGTGTGAACATGCTCACGAATGTGTGTTTTCAGTGTGGAGGTCAGCCCTGTGTGCTGTCCCTCAGTGCTTTCCATCCTGTTTTCTGAGACTGAGTCTCACTGGTCTGGGGCTTGCCATGTGGGTTAGGGTGACTGATCAGGGACTCCCAGAGATTCGCCTATCTCTGCCTCCCCAACTCTGGGATGACAGGTACACATTTCCCTGAGTTCTAGGGATTGAACGTAGGTCTTCATGCATGCATGGCAAGCTCTTTACCAACTGAACCATCTCCCCAGCCCTATATGACCTTTTCAATAACCAACAAGACCAACGGTAAAATCAGAAAAATGCAATAATGACATTTAGTAAGGACAAGAAATACAAACTATGTTGTTAATAACTGAGTTTTCCTTTGTTTCTTCCCTTTTCCCTCTGAATTAGTACCTCTCTGGAGTGCTGATTTCCTTTTCATCTCTTCAGTTGACCAAGCTGTGTTTATGGTGTACACTATACTGTTCTCATGTACCTATACACAGTGAAATGCTAAATCCAGTGAATAAATATATGTTTTACCTAACACCATTTTTTGAGGAGACTTAAAATTTATTCTCTATGTATTTTTGTTCTATTTTCTTCTCTGTTTTTATTGTATATTCTTTCAAGTATATATTTTTTATTATAGCCATCTCAATTCCTCTGTAAAATGAATAAAAGAATTACTTAAAATTAAAAGTAAAATTAGTCTATTTAAAATTTATTCAATAATAGCCAACAGTGTTCTTTTTTTTTTGTTTTTCAAGAAAACCTTGACTTTTATTTATTTTTTACCATGTATTCATTCATATCCTGATTGTAGCCCTCTACCTTGTCTCCTCCCGGTCTTTCTCCTCCCTCCCATCTCCTTCCCCTAGTCCACTGGGAGTTGAGTTCAAGGGGGAGTTCACCTCCCCTGCCAGCTGACCCTAGCTCATCAAGTCTCATCAGTACTGCCTGGCTCCTCTTCCTCTGTGACCTGGCAAGGCCATATCACCAGGAGGAAGAGAAACTGAATTCATGACAGAGGCAGCCCCTGCTCACCTCACTTGAGAACCCACACAGAGACTGAGCTGTCAATTAGCTACATCTGAACAGGGAAGGGGTCCAGGTCCTTGCATGGTCCTTGGTTGGTGCATCAGTCTCTGTAGGGCCACCTGGGCTCAGATTTTTTTAGCTTTGTTGGTCTCCTTATGAGTTCCTGTCTCATCCAGGTACTTCTATTCTGCCCCCTCCCCTCTTCCTTCCATAAGACTCTCTGAGCTCTACTAAAATTTTGGCTGTGAGTCTCAGCATCTCTTTTGAGCCTGTTGGGTGGAGCCTTTCAGAGGACCTCTATGGTAGGCTCCCCTCCTATTCCCTCTCTTCCACCACTTCAAATATCATCCTGAGTGAGGTAACCCAGAACCAGAAAGACACTCATGGTATATACTCACTTATAAGTGGATATTAGCATATAATATAGGATAGCCATACTGATCTAAAGACGCTAAACAACAAGGAGGACCCTAGGGAGAATGCTTACATCTCATTCAGAATGGGAAACAGTGTTCTTCTTAAATTTTGTATTTTATTTTATGTATAAGGGTGTTTCGTCCATGTGTATGTCTAGGCTGAATCCCCTGGAATTGGAATTAAAGATGGCCGCGAATGGCCATGAGGTACTGGCAATGAAACCTGGGTCCTCTGGAAAAGCAGCCTGTGCTATGAAGCACTGAACTATCTCTTTAGTTCCAACAGTTATTTTTTTCTCTTTAAATAAAAAAATGGAGAAAAAAAACTTCATTTGTGATCAGTGTATTTAATTGAAACCTTATGTGACTCAGCATAAATATAAGCTCTCTGCCAATGCAAAGCCTTGCACTTGAAGGTTAATAAAACTATACTTTCCAGAGCTGATGCTTTAGGAAACACCTATGTTAATGGAAAGTTCAGGTATTTCAGAGAGAACAGAAAGAACAAGGCGATGAACACATTACAACATTTGTAAAGGTGTATTTCTGCTATCAGCATCTTTTCAAATCAATGTAGCAAAGACATCTATTCTGAATATAATATTGTTTTAAAAGGAAAGTCATTTTTAGTCAGCATTAAGACATCATCTAAATTTTTAGAATGGGTGTATGATGGGTGTAAGATTATAGCTAATGTACACAGTTTTCATCAAAGAAGCTTCAGAACATCAACGATAATAAGATCCCCCTAGCTGGCGTGCATCCTAAATTAGAATGAGGGTTAGCAAGATGGCTCAGCAAGTCAGGAGGCTTGCCATGGAAGCCTAACAACTTGAGTTCAATCCCTGGGACCTACATAAAAGTCAAAGAAGAAAGGTGACTCCACAATACTGCAATGATATGAGTTAGACCAGGTTGAGAAACAGCAAGCCTGGACTTTTATAGCAGTATCACCATTATCCTAAATTCTTCTCGGCACATAAAGAAAAGCAAAACAATTTAATATATATAAATAAATAATAAATGTATTATTTACATTTATATAGTATACAGTATATATACATACATATATAATATACATTATATATATATAGTATGTATGTGTGTTTGAAGGAGAATTTCAATTATTATTTGCTTACCTCTGGTAGGAAATTGTGCTTTTTAATCACCTGGTATAACATTTCATGAGTTTCAATAGCAGGCCTAATATCACCCTTTAAAACCTAGAAGTTAACAACAACATCACTTAGTAAAGCATGAATTAATTTCACCTACAACCATTACATTACAAGATTAATACAACTTTGCAATCATAACTTTATCATTTGATTTTAGAGATTACAAATGCACTTTATAAAATAATTTTATTCTAATATTAAGAAAATTGGTTTTGGGCCAGGTGTGGTGGCACACGCCTTTAATCCCAGTACTCGGGAGGCAGAGGCAGCTGGATCTCTGTGAGTCTGAAGCCAGCCTAGTCTACAAGTTCCAAGACAGCCAGGGCTCTGTTATACAGAGAAATCCTGTCCTGGGGAGGGGTTGCATAAGAAGGAGAAGAAAAAGAAAATGGGTTTCTTTACCTGCAAACCTGGAAAAAAGGCAAGCAATGCATCCATCCAGGTCCGAGCATTCAGCATCGGTTTGTGAATATGCACATCAAGTAGGAGTGGTGGCTGGCTAATATACCTCATTATGGCATCATAGTGCTGAAAGATCGTGATAAAATGTTCATTAAAGTAGATGTAAAAACTATCTAACACAGTAAAGAAATTAAGTCTGAATATAAACAAATAAATTTTCTATATGTTAACTGATTATGAATATTTTAGGTGAAATAAATTATATATGCTACTATATATTTTCTCAGCAGATGCAAAAGTATGGGTATAGCTCAATAGATGGATTTGTCTAACATGCCCAAGGTTTCAAATCTAAGGCATGTACATATGCCATAGATGGGCATGCACATATAGAAATCACAATTCATACAGACAGCTACTAAAATACTGAACTGATTTAAAAGCAAACAAGGCTGGGTGCAGTGGTATGTGGCCGCCATGCCAGGAGCCTGAGGTAGAGGAACAAGAGTTCAGAGGCACCCTCTATATCTTCAGAAGGCAGTATATTAAAGACTACAGTTAACGAGGCCTCCTGGGGCTGGGCATACCCATCAGTCAGTTCAGTGCTTGCTGCACAAGATGGGAACCTGAGTTCCGACAGCCAGCATCCACAGAACAAAGCCAGGCGGAGCAGCACTCTCTGACCACAGTGGTTCAGAAGGTAAAGAAGAGATTCCCTAGGGCTTGCTGGCCCAGCCAGTCTAGCCACTGGGGAACTCTAGGCTTGGTGAAAAGATTCTGTCTCACTAAGGTAAGGCATACAGCAACCAAAGATGATACTCAATGTCAGCTTCTGGCCTCCGCACACACACTTGAACATATATGAACACATATATAAGTTAGAAGCATGGTAGGGTCTTCTGAGAGAAACAGATCTACACATCTCTATCGACTGTGTGAGCAGCTCATGTTAGGAAGCCTGTGTGGGTCAGTGACAGTCTCTGATCCCCTTGGATCAAAGCCACAGGTTTCATCTTTCAGAGTTTAGTTTTTCTCCTTTATCCAGGAAATGTGGTCCCTTCTCAGCTCACCCAATATTCTGGCACTCGCTACTACCAAAACTAATGTACATGATCACCATTACCACTCACATGGTCTGCTATCTCTACTTTTTCTGTTATTGGAAACGCCTTTTCTCTGTCTTTTAACTGTTTCTCCTACATATGTCTAAGCTTTGAAAACAGGACAAACTGGATTAATAAGCCAACAAAAAATAAGTTAGTCCTAATTTACCTCTAAAAAGGAAAAAAAGAAATCTTATTCTCAGCAAATAATCTACAGTTTTTTAAGTATTCAAAAATTACTATAACTTAAATTTATTTATTCATTTTTATTTTATTTTATGTCTACATGCATATCTGTGTACCCCATGCATGATGGTGCCTGGAAAGGCCTGAGACATTGGATCCCCAGAAGAAGACATTGGATCGCCTGGAACTGGCGTTAAAGGGATTATGAGCAGCCATGTGGATGTTGGGAACTGAACCCAGGTCCTCTGCAAAAGCAGCAAATGCTCTTAACCACTAAGACACTTCTCTAGCCCCTATTTAATAGGACTTTAAATGAGCTGTTTTGCTAGATCATCTGGTATTTAATAGCTACTACTGACAATGTGCCATATGTTTAGCCATGTTCTAATCACTGTGTATATAAAAACTCTAAACAAAAGGCAAACAGAGATGCTCACAAAATCAGTATGCTGGCCAAACAGGATGGAAACTATGATCTTTGTCCTACTTTTACCTACACTATCAAAACATATCACATATGAAATGCTGGTGAACTGATGAGTGGGGGGGGGGGGAATTGTATCTAAATGAATATAGCAACACAGCTGATGAGTTTGCTACATTAACCTTAGCTTGCTTCAGTTACAAAAGCAACCCATGATGAGTCCAACTCTCTCCTTTCCCAGAGCTTTTATGTGGGCTTCTTATGGTCCAGTCTTAAGACATATACTTTTGAAATAAATATGACCTACTCAAACCTTGCTGTCTGGTATGATCAAAGACTAGGCCAAACTTCCAACATTTCAAATAGGATTGGAACCCAAAAAAGAAAGCTAGCTGTAACTCATTCCAGTAATTGCCTTCTTTGTTCAAAACAAGATTATGTAAAAACCAAATCTACTTATTTTGTCACACACTGTCAGATTTAGACACTTTCTGATAAAAGATGAAATGAAGCTATGTTGGGTTTTCACTCACACATCACCTTGTCCAACTCCATCAGAGAGTGTTGACAGAACACTACAACACATTTAAAGACAGACTGTTTTAAGAACGTCATTTAGGTTGTTAAATTCTCATCCAACTTGGCCTCAAATGAAGTTAGCTACAAAATTAATAGAAAAATAAATCAACTTACTGTATTAAATCTTTCCAGAAAACTGTCATCTCCAAGCAAGACATAGGCTTTCAACAGATACTCATAATAGGAATCAATCCCTGCTCCAACTCCACTATCTACAGAAAATACATATAAATGTGGGCCTTTATTAAATATGTCTGAAAATTCACAGAGTACAAATAAGGACACTAGGATAGCAAAATAAAATTACATGCTAGCATGAAACTCTGATGTAAAAACTACACATCTCTGGAAACACAACCCTATCTGCTATGTGAATAATAGCTCCCTTGCTGATAAGTTTATTTTTAAAAAGTTGTGATACAAAATTGGTTACAATTTTTCTTATTTAAAAAAAGATATCAGCACGTTTAAGCTATATGGAGGATAAGTTAACAGTGATTTAACCAACATAAATTGAAAAACTGAAATCTCTTTAAAAAAAAAACAACAACAACATAGAAACCAAATTTTAGCAATTAAAAGCATTTTAAATTTGAAAGGCCCCAAAAAAATGCTGAAAGAAGAAAACTTATACCTAAAATTGCAACAACACTTTTACCATAGGCTAGAACATGAAAATAAGAACAATATCATATTTTTAACAGGATGTCTGAAAGCAAAAGAGTTCTATTTCAAAAACTTGATGGAAAGTAACTTAAGCCAAGAATTGCACCCAGATAAGCCATCACAATGAACTGCTAGGGAAATACAGCTTTGGTACCTAGGGAACAATCATCTCTGTTATCTGAACAACACTGGTTTCAAGACTCCCGAGGATGCTAGAATGGAAAGATGCTCAAGTGCCATTCAATAGTTTAAACTGTCACAGCCTCACATGCTTTGAGCCATCTCCAAATTCATTTTAACACAAAGTACAATGTACAAGCTATATACATGCTTATTATACTGTATTGCTTAGAAACAATAAATATACATATGTTTAGAATAGATGTAACTTTCCCCTGAATACTCTCCATGTTCAGGTGACTGAATACTGGAAGCAGAACCCATACATACAGAGACTGGTTAATTGAGACAACCCATATATTTTAAGTGATATGCAAAGTGCCAGTAAGTAAATACCTCAAGTAAGGCTTGCTATTATTCAAATAGTGAGGAAGGGATCCAAAGAGGGGAGAGACAGAGAAAGGGAACAATTAAGCCCCAAAGAAAACCGAGACTCATAGATAGTCAGAACTATCGATACAACAGAAAAGGGTTGGGGAGGAGGAAAGAAAGGGATGACAGCACATTCAGTTTGTCTTTAGAAACAAAGCTATCAATCAAAAACAAAACAATAAAAAACTAGAAAAGATGCAACATACTGAAATAACATAAAAGTAGCACAAGCCTGTGTGTATTAAAACTATCAACAGATTAACACAGGAAAATGGTAAAATCCATGTAGATATGTACAAATCTCATCAATGACACAGTTACAGCATAAGCACCTGCAGGAAGTGAAAGCAGGATGGGAAAGGTATATCTAGTAAACACTGAAAGATAAAGTAGAGACAGCTACTTAGAGACAGAGGATCACTACACAGTGACAAAGGGTTCAACTAAGGAGAGACAGCAATCTAAAATGAATGTACCCATCATTTCTAATGAAACACATATAAATCAAAAATGGAACAATAGAAAAATCATTGTTGGAAATCACCTACTGTAATTCTTGCCAGCTTAAGCAAGCAAAAAATCAGTAGGGTCTATATATTATTGATAACTGAGTAGAAATGTAAATTAGTCTAGCCACTATAAAATTCAGGATGGAGTTTAACATTTTAAAGATCCCATTCCTACCAGAAGAAAATACCTTTCCCTTAAGTCTCCAGTACCACTATAATATTCCCCTCTCTGAAGACATAATCCTAAAATCACTTAGGAGAGAGCTGAAATTTGGGAATCGATAAAGCCCATCTTTCTCATGAAAACCCAGAGATCCAGTTCCAAAGCTGTTCACCAGAAGGGATGAGAGCCTGGACTGGAGCTCCAGTGCCACCCCTGTGCAGTCTACAGGCTCATTTAGGAAGAATTAAGAAATCAGAGCTCCCTTCAGACACTTCCTGCCAAGAAAACCAAGGGCATATCTGGAATTGCTGCTTTTGGGTTTCCTGCCCTGAGCTGCCTGTGCAGTCTCCTCCCTTAAGAGTTAGTCCAGGCTGGGTGCAGTGGCTCACACCTTTAGTCCCAGCACTCGGGAGGCAGAGGCAGGCAGATCTCTTAGGTTTGAGGCCAGCCTGGTCTACAAAGTGAGTCCAAATCAGCTAAGGCTACACAGAGAAACTCTACCTCAAAAATTAATTAACTAATTAATTCATTAATTAATTTTAGGGCCCTAGCAGGTTATCTTTGATATAACCTGCTGCCTGTAGTCAGGTATGTTGTGCCTGATAAAAGGGCCCCATCTGGCTCCCTAGCTCTCTGTGTTTTTCCCACATACTCTCTCTGTCTCCTTCTTTCTCTGTAATAGGCATAGAGCTCCCTCCCTCCCCTCCTCCTTTCCCACAATAAACCTCCTTTATAACAAATATGTTGTAGTAGCATATTAATCATTATTATAACACAAACTAAGGAGATGAGAGGAATAGTTACCCTTTTAATGAGATAATGTATCTGCCTTCTGTACAGTCACTTACTGCGCCACAGCCAGGGAGTTTTGCAAGTGTACCTGCTTTTCTGCATTTATTTTCTTTATCTCTTTTAAAGCATGCTCTGCCTAACACACTGGGCTTCATTCTTTCTCTAAAACTCCCCTCCTCACCATGTGGCTGCTGTCATATGGCTGACCTTCATGTTGGCTTAACTCAAATTTTAACACAGCCTTTTCTTTTTCCCTTCAAAAATCTTCCTTCTTAATTATGCTCTGTGGCAGTTTGAATAAGAATGACTGACTCCCTCACCCCCATCCTTTGGCTCCTCTATTTGAATGCTTAGTCATCAGGCACTACTTAAGAAAGAGGGGACTTGAGAGATGGCTCAGAGGTTAAGAGCACTGGCTGCTCTTCCAAAGGTCCTCAGTTAAATTCTCAACATCGACATGGTGCCTCAGAACCATCTATAATGAGATCTGGTACCCTCTTCTGGCAAGCAGACAGAATACTATATACATAATAAATAAATAAATCTTTTCAAAAAAAAAGAAAGAAAGAAAGATAAGAAAGCTGAAGGTGTGGCCTTCTTGGGTCACTGAGGATGGGCCTGAATGTTTCAAACGCCTATGCCAGAGTCACTGTCTCTCTTTTCCTGCTGCCTGTGGCTCAGGATGCAGAACTCTTACCTATTTCTTCAGCACTACATCTGCTATGTGTACCTCCATGTTGTCACCATGGCAATAATGGACCAAACCTCTGAAATTACAAGCAAGCCCCTACTTAAATGCTTTCTTCCTCAAGCATTACTTTGGTCGTGTCTCTTCACAGCAATAGAGCACTGACTAAGACATGCTCTTCAGAAAGTAAGAATCCTATGTTTTCTATCACATGTGGAAATCAGGTGTGTGCAGGGAGTGGAAGAGGACCCTGAAAGTAAAAAGGAGACTATTAGGGATATAGAAGGAGGAAAGAGGGAGAAGGGGTAAGAGAGTAACAGATGAGTGAATATGATAACATATATGAGTATAAAAATGTCATAATGAAGCCTATTACTTTGTGCAATTAATATGCACTAATAAAACAAAACAAAAAAGTTAACTGAGAAAACTGCCACGTACAGAACTCTACAAACAACAATTAAAAATATTCTTTCTTAAATCTGTAAGAAACATTAACAAAAACTGTCCATATTTTAGGCCAAAAAAGAATAATGCTTCAATAAATTTCAGAATAGTACCATCATATATGTTCTATACAGACCACTGAATCACAAACATTATTGAAAAAAAAAAAAGGTCTGTAAAGTGAAAACACTGTTAATACCTCCAAAAATAGGAAAAATGTGTCTTATATTACAAATACCAATCAACTTCAGATAGTCAAACAAATGTCAATTTTAGTAACAAAATTTAGAAACTATTACTATCATATTAAGGAGATGTTCCTAACACAAAATAGGGTTAATCAGAAAAAAAACCTGATGAATGTGACTCTATAAACTAGCAGAACCTAAAAGGAAAGCATGAGCCATAAACTAAAAGAGGATACACAGAAAACACACAACTCACAAACAGTATCAAGAATGTTTGGCAATATCACAGCTTTAAAAAAATCACAATCTAACCCAAAAGCAAATGGTAAAAACACACACACACACACACACACACACACACACAAAAGCATATAATTTTAAATAAGCAAACAGGGCTGAGGATTTAGCTCAGTGGTAGAACACTTGGCTAGGTAGGGTGAGGATGTGGGTTTGATCCCCAACATCAAAAATAAATAAACAGAAAGAATTAAACTGTATGGGTCGGCATTTTGACACTCACTCAGTTTGACTACCAATGATGCCAAACATATCTTCATATTTATTGGCCACATATGCTTATTTACTTGTTTTTTGGTACTCTTAAAATGTTTTCACATCTCAAAAGGCCAGCAATATAGTGTTAGAGAGGATGCCAGCACACAGGTCTCTTACATGCTGCTAGTGAAGTATACAGTAATGAAAAAAAAAATTGGAATTTGAACTAATCTCCAAAAGCTGAGAACATTAACTTATACTATTAATCTAAATTTTTTACTTCTACATAGCCAAGAGAAATGCATGCTTGGATAAGGAGTAACTGCAAGACAAATGTTAAGTAAATACTAATGATCACATTAGAAAAATCTTTGAAAACGACTTAAGTGTCCATCAACTGGTTTGTTATTGTAGTATTCAAAAATGAGTTACTTCATCCTGCAGTAAGGATGAGTCTTAGTAACATATTAATTGAAAAAAGTCTCAAAGGACATACAGTGTGTTATACTTTAATGAAGCTTAAAGAAAACAAACAAAATACCCTTTTTAGGAATAGCTAGATGTGAAATTTTTTATTAAGAGAAAAGCAAAACAACAATCTACATAAGAATTATGGTTTCCTCACGGGAAGAATGATTACAGTGTTTATTGATTTAAATGCAGGTGATAACTTTTTTAGACACAAACAAAGAAAAGTCTGGGTAATCAACTACTCCAGGGCAGGTCTCAAATATTCACAAGTAGTTGACAAAGAAATAATGGACTATACAGTTTGTCTGTGTGCTTTTATGTTGTTAGTTTTTTTTTTTTTCTCCTTTTGGGGTATCGGTGTATTTGTTTTTTTGGGTTTTGTTGCAGTACTGGGTTTTGGGTTGGTGAGTAGGGAGGAGGAGAGGATCTGAAAAAACTTGGGGGAGGGGAAGAATATGATAAAATATATTTAAATTTAAAAATCACTTTAAATAATAAAAAAATAATTTAAAAAGAAAATACAGACAAGTAGAGAAGAAAATTATCATTCATGCCCAACAGTGCAGAGACAGACATTGTAAGTATATGTGTAGCATAGGAATGATGATGGCATATTTGTATGTGAGTGTTCACTTCTATAACCGCTTCCTGCCCACCCATCTTTGGGTTCTAGAGGATTAATAATGCAGGGCCTGCCAGCTCTTGCTATAGCCTACTTATGTAGCAGTTCTGTACCAAAAATCATCTACAGTTCCCAGGAGGGAGTTTATGAGACACCCTGCCACTTTCATGGCCCCCATGAACTCTCTGGGCATGACACCCTGGAACTACCCTCGTCACCACCCTGCAAACACCACCATCACCAGCAAAGCTATTCAAAGCTATTCATTCTGGGAGGACCTCTCCCGTCCTCCCAGAATGAGCTGCCATGGTGGAGTGATGTACCTTAATGGTTTGCAGGACTTCAGAGAAAATACTTTCTTGGCACATTTTCAAAGAGTTAGTTGCATCCATCTCTATATGGTTTGGAACTGAGTCCAGTGGAGACCTAGCAGAGAAACAGGGTTCTTTCTGCTGCTATGGACCAACCCTCTCTCACAAGGTAGACTTCTCACTCATGGCCTCTGAGATGGAGGCTCATCCCACAAATTTGTGTGAAGAATCTGAAACCACTGTTACAAATAAATGCAAGATGAAGGACACTTAGAGATGATAACAGAAATCACAGCACTGAATATAAATAAAATTACTGACACACTGCCTGAGACACAGCAAAGATTAACATTCTCAGAAAGCTGACAGCTACTCACATTATTTTAAATATTTCTCTTAAAAATATTAGTGTATATTTTGCATATATTTTGCTATTAATTATTCTTCACATTCAAAAAAAGAAAAAGAAAAAAATCATTTGAATGAGGTAACACAGATTCAAATACATCAAATAAAAATATGGTATGTGTTCACTTTTATGTGGCTGTTTGATACTAAGTATTCCATAAGAAGGCGACAGCCACACAACCACAGTGGTTAGGTACAGAGTAAGGGACTTCGAGGAGAATTGGAACTCCTTAGAAAGGGGAAATAGAGTAGACAGTTATGGATGTAGCAGGAGAGGGCTGATATGAAAGGATCCAATGGGGAGGGGAACAGAAGAGGGACATAAGGGAAGGAATATGGGAAGAAAAAAAAAGAAAAAAAATTGTATAATATTAAATATAAGTATTATATTTGATTTAATTATGAGATCAATAACTACATAATTTGGAGATTTGTTTTGTTTTGTTTTTTTCTTTTAGAAAGGGTTTCTCTGTGTAGACTTGGCTGTCCTGGACTCACTCTGTAGACTAGGCTGGCCTCAAACTCATAGAGATCCACCTGCCTCTGCCTCCCTGAGTGCTGGGATTACAGGCCTTCATCACCACGCCTGGCTTAACTACATAATTTTTATTTATACACAGGTACTTATTTTTATTTATAAATAAACAAGACAAGCTTTTTGGAAAACAGAGAAACATATAAAAGATAACCTCATTAGGAACATTCCAGTGTATTTCTGTTCTTCTGTGCTTGCCTTATAGGGGAGTTTTAAAACATAAAATACTCTTTATTCAATGCCATATGCTATTTGCTCATAACATTGTTATGTTTCTTTCCGAAGACTACAGCATGTAGAATATAATTTTAACATATTATGTTACTGATTCTCACTTTACTCTGTTTTCTAGTATTATAACTAAGTGTGTGATAACTATCTTAGGAAACAAATTTCTATCACTTCCTCAAGCTAGATTGCGTAAGTAAAGTTTGTAGTCCAAGGGACTATCTGTGACTTTTCCGAGTAAGTGTACACTGCACGCATTCCAGGACTGGCCTCAGGACTCCAAGTCATTTAACCTTCAAGGTAACTCCGAAGCAGTACTAATGCCTCATCTTACAGCAGTGAATATAGACAAACACAAGTTACATCACACAGCTTGAATTCCAACAACACGGTTCCAAAGTGTATGCTCCAGTCTGTTTCTAGAGACAGAAAACACACACAGACACAGAGGAAGGGGGGGTAGACCATAACAGCATTATTAAATATAGCCACCAAACAATGAAGTGAGACAAAGGATTCTGATTCCTCAGGCCTCAAGGAAATCAACTCTGGTGCCTCGTCTCTCCCTGCACCTGTTAGTGCTGTCCACACTAAGGTATGAACAAATGCTATCCCCACTATTTTCACAAAGGAAACACCGCCTTTCCCAACCATCCTGAGGATGTGCTAGTCTGGGTCATAAAGCCCAGCTTGCATACCTTTGCGCACCCAGTCTCCAGTATGAATATTGATAGTCACGCCTACTAAATTGCTACTTCGCTGTCTTTTCTCCCATAGAAAGTCAAGAGCTTTTCTTGCATATTCCTGTAATTAAAAAAACAAAAGCATATTTGAAGAACTTTGACTTGGCAAAGAAGGGGATATCCTCAAATTAAAGTGCCATAATACCTCTTAAGAATTAAGCAAAATTCTTAAGACAACCACTTATAAAATTTCCTTAAGATCGTGGGAGTAAATGATCTCACCTGAAGAACAGCCACAGCCATTTACTCTTGTAGCATGGGTGACATCCATACATGGATTATTATATTCACTGACATAATTAAAAGCACTTGTTAAAACAATTCTCACCACTTCAGTGCAGAGTAGAACTCTCCAAAGGTGTTCATTCTCATTTAGCAAACTTGAAGATTCACAGTTGGTACACTGTCTTTGGAAGTCATTTTAGATACTGTTTTTTTTAATTCATCTTTTTTATTTTCGTATTTATTACAACTTATTCACTTTGTATCCAGCTGTATGCCCCTCCCACATCCCCTCCCAATCTCACCCTTCTTCCTTCTTCTCTCCCTGTGCCCCTCTTCAAGTCCACTGATAGGGAAGGTTCTCCTCCCCTTCCATCTGACCCTAGCCTATCAGGTCTCATCAAGACTGGCTGCATTGTCTTCCTCTATGGCCTGGAGGAAGATAATGCCCTCTCAGAGGGAGGTGATCAAAGAGCCAGCCAGGGAGTTCATGTCAGAGACAGTCCCTGTTCCCCTTACTAGGGCACCCACTTGGACACTGAGCTGCCATGGGCTACATCTGTGCAGGGGTTCTAGGTTATCTCCATGCATGGTCCTTGGTTGGAGTATCAGTCTCAGAAAAAAAAAACCCTGTGTCCAGATTTTTTGGTTCTGTTGCTCCTCTTATGGAGCTCCTGTCCACTTCAAGTATTTCTGTCTCCCCCTTCTTTCATAAGATTCCCTGAACTCTGCCCAAAGTTTGGCTATGAGTCTCAGCATCTGCTTTGATACCCTACTGGGTAGAGTCTTTCAGGTAGGCTCCTGTCCTGTTCCCTGTTTTCTCCATCTCCATTGCCTTTCTGAGGATTGAGCATCTTACCCAGGGTCTTCCTTCTTGCTTAGCTTCTTTAGGTGTACAGATTTTAGTATGTTTGTCCTATATTATATGTCTAATATCCACTTATAAGTAAGTATATACCATGTGTGTCTTTCTGCTTCTGGGATATCTCACTCAGGATGATCTTTTCCAGTTCCCACCATTTGCCTGCAATTTTCATGATTTCCTTGTTTTTAATTGCTAAGTAGTATTCCATTGTGTAAATGTACCATAATTTATGCATCCATTCTTCAACTGAGGGGCATCTGGGTTGTTCCCAGATTCTGGCTATTACGAATAAAGCTGCTAGGAACATGGTTGAGCAAATGCCCTTGTTGTATACTTGAGCAACTTTTGGATATATGCCTAGGAGTGGTATAGCTGGATCTTGAGGTAGCACTATTCCTAATTGTCTGAGAAAATGCCAGATTGATTTCCAAAGTGGTTGTACAAGGTTACATTCCCACCAGCAATGGAGGAAAGTTCTCCTTTCTCCACATCCTCTCCAACATGTGTTGTCACTCAGGTTTTTTATCTTAGCCATTCTGATACATGTAAGGTGAAATCTCAGGGTCATTTTTGATTTGCATTTTCCTGATGGCTAATGAGGTTGAGCATTTAAGTGTTTCTCTGCCATTCGATATTCCTCTACTGAGAATTCTCTGTTTAGCTCTGTTCCCCATTTTTTTAATTGGATTACTTGATTTGTTGCTTTTCAACTTCTTTAGTTCTTTATATATACTGGATATTAGCCCTCTGTCAGATAGAGGGTTGGTGAAGATTCTTTCCCAATCTGTAGGCATTCATTTTGTTTTGATGACAGTGTCCTTTGCTTTACAGAAGCTTTTCAGTTTCATGAGGTCCCATTGACTGATTGTTGCTCTTAGAGTCTGTGCTGTTATTGTCCTGTTCAGGAAGTTGTCTCCTGTGCCAATGAGTTCAAGGCTCTTTCTTATAACAGGTTTAGCGTGACTGGTTTTATGTTGAGGTCTTTGATCCACTTGGACTTCAGTTTTGTGCAGGGTGATAAATATGGATCTATTTGCATTTTTCTACATGTAGACATCCAGTTAGAGCAGCACCATTTGTTGAAGATGCTATCTTTTTTCCATTGTATGGTTTTGGCATCTTTGTAAAAAATCAGGTGTCCATAAGTATGTGTGTTTATTTCTGGGTCTTCTGTTCAGTTCCATTGTTCCACCATTCTGTTTCTATGCCAGTACCATGAGGTTTTTATTACTGTTGCTCTATAGTACAGCTTGAGATCAGGGACAGAAATACCTCCAAAAGATCTTTTATTGTAGAGGATTGTTTTAGCTATTCTGAGTTTCATATGTTATTCCATATGAAGTTGAGAATTTTTCTTTCAAGGTTTGTAAAGACTTGTGTCGGTAATTTGATGGGAATTACATTGAACCTGTAGATTGCTTTTGGTAAGATGGACATTTTTACTATGTTAATCCTGCCGAGCCATGAGCATGGGAGATCTTTCCATCTTCTCATATCGAAGTCTATTTCTTTCTTCAGAGACTTGAAATTTTTCTCATGCAAGTCTTTGACTTCTAAGTTAGAGTTACAACAAGGTAATTTATGTCTTTTGTGGCTATTGTGAAGGGTGTTGTTTCCCTAATTTCTTTCTCAGCCCATTTGTCTTTTGTATACAGGAGGGCTACTGACTTTTTTGAGTTAATTTTTTATCCAGTCTCTTTGCTGAAGGTGTTTATCAGCTGTTGGAGTTCCCTGGTAGAATTTTTGGGGTCACTCATATATACGATCATATCATCTGCAAATAGTTGTAATTTGACTTCTTCCTTTCCGATTTGAACCCCCTTGATCTCCTTATTGCTGTAGCAAGGACTTCAAAAACTATATTGAAGAGATATGGAGAGAGTGAGCAGCCTTGCCTTGTCCCTGATTTCAGTTGGATTGATTTAAGTTTCTCTCCATTTAGTCTGATGTTGGCTATAGGCTTGCTGTATATTGCCTTTACCATGTTTAGGGTAAGTGCCTTGTATCCCTGATCTCTCCAGGACTTTAAACATGAACAAGATATTGTTGTTGTTTTTTAAGTGACACATAATTTTCTTCGTGAAAACTTAACAAATCAACTAGGCTACTGAGGACTATCTGTATATTAAGGTATCTATACATATATACATAAAATGTATAATCTTATACAACTTCTTTCATTTATTTTTATTCACTGGATATTAAATTGAAATTATTTCTTATAAAATTCTTAGCTTTGGATAAAAAGATGTTACAAATAGAATAGCAAAGGATAGCTCCTGGTAAAATTCTAAATTAATTTTAGGGTATGAACTTATTTAGCATTGCAAAAAAAAATCATTAAACCTAATTTGTTACTTTGTAGGTTTGGCAATCGAGTACAAAATCATTTACATTCTTGATGCAAATGATGCATGCTAATTATATTTCAGCAAAGCAGATCACAACTATAATTAAGTGGTGAATTTTCAAATCTGGAAAGCTTGATACTGATTATATTTCCCTATTCCTATTTTACAGCCTAAGTAAACAGGCACAGTAAAATTATGAACTTAGCCAAAGTTTAAAATTGAATTATAGGACACTAATAAAAAGAACTCTGATTTCTTTAAATATTTTTCTCCAAATGTTAGGGTCAGCAAAGTTTTTCTGACAAGGGTCAGATGGAAAATAGTTCGGGCATTGTGGGTCATACTGTCACTGGTTTCTCAACTTGTGAATATAACATAAAAAGAGACAAAAATAAGCCATTGAGCACAGATGCGGTTTCACATCAACCTAAAAAAAATAAAATAAAAATAGAGATTACAGCTCAAAATCCCGTTAACAGAAATGCTCTGTCAAAGGAAATTAGAAGATTTTTTTTAAATCATGATTTTTTTCAACAGATTTACTCAGAAAAACAAAATAGGAAATGGAAAGAACAAAGACATGGGCTTTAAACCAACTGCATTTGTTCACCCTTGGGCTGCAAACTTATCCTACTGAGACTCATTTTTGCCTCAAATACATGAATGTCTAAGAAAGTTTTTCTTTTATATTAAAACGTACGTACAAGGGCGTATACTGTTTAATGAAGGGGAACTACTAGACAAAAAAAGGATATTTTAAAATTTAAGTCTAAAGCATTAACCAATCACAGTTGATAAATCTGTCCTCGAGGCATATAAAGCACAGGCATCCATTCATACCCAGATAGGACCAGCATAGGACTTGCTGGCTTTCTCCGCATCCTGTTCCAGTATCTATAATGGTGTATATGTTCCCTGCTTCTGCTCTGCCCATGTGATCACCTTATGACTTTAAAAAAAATTATCTATGTCATGTGTCTATGAAAGTGGGCATGTAAGTAACTCTAGGATTCCAATGATAATTATAATAAATAATTACATTAGAATTTTTAATGCAAGATAGAGATAAGCCACAGTAAAATATGTGGGGCGATTTAAGTCTTTTGAATAATGAATGAGTAACATTTCCTTCAAAATACACAAATTTATACATTAGACTCTTGATCAAGGTTTATACACAAAAATTGCACTATTAAATTATTTGTGAAGATTTCAGAAATACAACCAGTCATTTGGAAGTCTAACAAATAAAACACAAATACAAGGACATCTGGGCTACCGAGGAGTCATCAAATTTACATGCTGTAGTTAAACACTCTTCTAAGAAGAAAGCTAAAATATTATTTATGGTCTGTGAACAAAAAGCAGACTTGTATTGAATACTGCTGCCCCACAATGGCTTCCATGCCTATAACATTAGAATTTGATTAAAAGTAGACTAAAGTAACAGTAACCCTACAATGAAGAATCCTAATCCTTAGCCAACGAAAACAAATAGAAAGTTAGTTCTTCCCAAACCCCAGGAGACCAAAGGCTGTGAAAAGCAAACCTCAAATATTGTCGCTCCGGTGAATCGACTTAGAGCAGCAAACTCAAGGATCAAGGTCCCCGCACAGGCTGTACAGGTGTCTGTCTCAGTTCCCGTCCGGGCTTCTGGTTTTCTGATGCCAAACTTTAAATTAATCTAAATACAATGAGAACGTTACCATGAGCAACTGCCAAGACATAAATGAGTTTATGATCTACCACTGTCAATCAGGCCTTATCAGATTATGAAAATAATTCATGAAGTGAATAAAGTGAAGTCAACCTGAGGATCTCTGTGGCTTTCCAACAAACACCAGGAAAATATATTCTGAGCATACAGAATGTGTGGGGTAAGTAAGTTCTCACTTTCTTTCTTGATGATGTAATAACACAAATATTATTATAACAATGCAAGCATTGTTATACAGGTAGATCAGCCTTAGGAGAATTTATGAAACCAGTACAATACTATTAAACAGTCCACAGAGAAAAACTTGAGTGTAATGGTATATATTTAGAAGAGATTAAAATTTCTATGTTTTATAAATTCTTTGACAGTTTTTACATGTACACAATGCACTTTGGTCACAGTCCTCACTCCACCCCTTTGATCCTCCTCCTCCCACTATCACTCTTTTCTTTTCTTACATTTCTTATTTACTGTGTGGGGAGAAGGCACATGTATGCTAATCATATATACACAAGACACCTCGGGGAAGTCAGCTCTCCCCTTCTCCTAAGTGGTCCCGAGGATCAGACTCAGGCTGCCAGGCGCCTGTATGTGCTGATTCATCTCACTAGTCCCTGTCATGTTTACTTTTGTCCTCTGACTCACTGAGTTCAACCAGGGCCCACATGAGTATGAAGCTATCCTCTGGAGCATGGGGAACTCACCAGTGGCTGCGTCACTGAGGACACTGACTCCCCACTTCCAGTTCCCTGAGCAACACTTATTATTTAGCAGTGGTTCTCAACCTTCCGAATGCTGCAACCCTTTAATACAGTTCCTCTTCTAAAATAATCATTTCAAACTCTTTTTGACATGTCAAGCAATAGGAAAATAACAAGTTTCTTTGTTGACACTAGTACTTGTAGCACCTTCTGTTTCAATTTAAGCCTGCCTCTCATGTTACAGCAAACATAAAAAATTTGAGAGGTGCTAGGAAGCTAGCTCTGTGGGTAAAGTGCTTACAGAACAAGCAGGAGTGTTGTACATGGGAACATGATTTTGTTTTGGTCCCAGGTGTGGATGTGGGACTGATTCAGATGGTTTACAGCAGCGGACTATTTGCCTCGTGTGGGCTCTGAGAGGAGCTCTTTGCCAGCTGCAGATAGTTGAAATCTGAGGACTCTGGAGAGAGAATAAATGCCAGAGTCCAGAGACTGTGGAACATCCAAGAAAAAACAAGGCTGTTCCTGCTTCTCCCTTGCTGCTCCTGGCTGCTGCTGAGACAAGAAGTTGGAGATCTCCTGAAACAAGGATTGGACTGGCTCCAAGGAACCAGATGACCCTAACCAGCAGGAAGCAGCTAAGTGAACTATGCCCCCTCTCCCACAAACCGTTTCTCTCTCCTCCCTGGTGTTGGAAGGGATTGGGGTGGAGTAGGGAGAAAAGGATATCAGAAACGTAAATAAAAGTTTTTTGTTTTTGTTTTTGTTTTTTTTTTTTAAGTACGCCAACACATGAGGGCTTGGTTTCGATCCTGTTCCTCATGTCAAAAAGCCACGTTTGTCAGTGTGTACCTGTAACCCCAGGACTAGCAAGGCAGAAACAGGATTCCTAGCTGGTCTACCTGAATCAGGAAGCTTCAGGTTCAAGAAGAGACTAAGTCTCAAAAAAGTAATGTGGACCAATGAGGAAGCCACAGTGCTCACCTCTGTCATACACATACACAACACACACAGACACCAACATGTACATACATAGACACATACAGAATGTGAGACAGAGAGAAAAAAAAGGAATAAATGCTAGACTCCTCAAATTCTAAAACCTCTACAAAACAAAAACTAGGGCTAGAGGGATGGTTAAGAGCTCCTACTGCTCTTGAGAGGATACAAGTTCAACTCCAAGCATCCACATCAGATGGATCAAAACCTTTGTAACTCTAGCTCCCGTGGGATCCGACCAACATTTTCTCTGGTCTCTGTGGATACGTACACTCATGCACATACCCACAGGCAGGCAGGCAGGCAGGCAGGCAGACATAGATAGACAGACAGACGCACATACATACACACACACACACACACACACACACACACACACACACACACACAGACTTAAAAAATAGGGACTGGAGAGATAAAGCACTGGCTGCTCTTCCAGAAGATCCAGGTTCATTTCCCAGCAACCACATGGTAGTTCTTAGCTGGCTGAAATTACAGTTCCAGGGAATTCAATGCCTTCTTCTGGGCTCTGTGAGCACCGACAGGCATGTAGCACACCTACATACAGGCAAAACAACCACACACATTAATTTTTTAAGTTAAAAAAAGATAAAAGACAATAAAACAAAAACAGAAACACTTGCTACATGTAAATTTAATATATACATACTGCTTTAAATAGTTTTGCATCTAACTTTAATAAACTAAAGGAAAATGACCAGCTAACAATGCAAATATACTAGCAAACAAATTCTCATTTAAAATGACTGCAATTCCTCCGTCCTAATACTGAGAAAAGAATGATACTTTACTGTGTTGGAATCACACACTCTGTGTCATTGAGGGAAAATGAAAGTATCTTTTTGGCAGCAATTTGGTAATAAGTACTCAGAGTCTTAAAAAGTATTCCATACTTTCTTCTAGCAATTCATCCGAAAGACAAAAAAAAAAAAAAAAAGATAAAAAAAGATGTATGTAAGATTGCCTATTGGCAGGAAAGCTACTTAAAATTCTAAAAGTGGGGCCAGAGAGAAGCCTCAAGGAGGAAGGTGCTGCCGCATAAGCACAAGGACCTCATCTGGTGGCTGCATGCTCTTGTAACCCCTTGTACTAGTGGGACTCCTAAAGCTCATTAGCTAGACAGCCTAGGCGAACTAATGAGCTCCAGGATCAGTGAGACCCTACCTTAAAAAATAAAGATTGCAGAAAGACAGCGGGCATCTACTACAGGTCTCTATACCCATATCCATCTTCTCTCCACTCACACACAAACTCACATGCGTATGTGCAGACTCTCACACTAACAAATACATACAATGTGTACATACAGAAGGAAAAAAAACAAAAAAAAATACCCAAAGTGAAAACTTAAATAATATAGGGGTTAATTCTAGTATTTCATTGGAGAAAAGGTGGCAGTCGTGATAGACTAAATGGGCGGGGAAATCAATGGGTATGATATCTGGTTTGAAAAGCACCTACCTATATTGTGCTGCTGAACACCTATCCAGCCGACAATGATGTCATAAATACAGAGAATGAGCCTTGCTTGACTTCCACTTCTAGAGAAGTTATACTAGGCAGTAGAGATGGAAGGCCTAAATGCATGCAACGCAAAAGTTGCTTGAGGTTTGAAGAGCACTGCATATTGTTAGGATGGAAAGGTGGTTTCCCTGGGCTAGAGGAGTATGTTGAATTGAATGAGAACAGCCCCATAAGCTCATGCCTGAATGCTTGGTCCCCAGCTGGGGAACTGTTTGGGAAGAATTAAGAATTAGGATGTGTGGCCTTGTTGGAGGAAGTGTGTCACGGGGCTGAGGTCTGAAGATGTACCCCACCACACCAGTGTGCTCTCTGCTGCCGGCTCGCAGTTTGGGATATGAGCTTTCAGCTGTTCCTGCTGTCCTGTCTTCACTCAACCATAATGGACTCTAACCCTTTGAAACCATAAGCCTAACTTAACTCTTCCTTTCACGATACCTTGACCACGGTGTTTTGTCACAGCAATAGAAAAGTAACTAAGGACTATGAGAGAACACTAGAAAGTCTACTGCCAAACTATAAAAACTCTGAATGTTAAGGGGCAGTCACTGGACCAGGGAAAACGTTAAAGTTTTGAAAGCAATTCAATAAAAAATGTTTTGGTCGTACTCTTTTCCCAAGTGTCCTGAATAATAAGCCAGAGAAAAGAATAACCACATTAAGATACAGGAGTTTATGAATGAAATTAAACTGGCTTTGTTTTTGGCTGCAAGGCTAGCTTTTAACAGCTGAGCCATCTCTCCAGCTCTCAAGTTGGCTTTAATAGCACAGCAGCAAAATGAAATGAAAGGAAAAGGTGTCACAGACCTTGGGTCTGACTTGGACAAATGGGAGAAAAACAGTGTTAATAAAGAATGAGAGTCCACTCCATCCTCAGTGGCTTCCTTCTCCTGTTTTAAATAGAAAATATTCTTGGAGGGCAAAACAATAGTGAAGCTCCCTCACCTACTCACCTACTGGGTCTCAGGGCTCCAATACCAGCAAGAAGGAACCCCAGAGCAGCAAGCAACCCACACTGCAGCCTCCTTCCCTATCAGTCTGCCCCACAACACCCGGCAAGGTGTTGCCACTCCCCTCCTGCTGGAGCCTCTTTCTTAGGATTTTATCATGCTGCCCACTGTGTGATGTTCACTCCTGAATCCCTGGATGCTTTCCTTTGTGGCAGGTCCGCTTCTCCTCACCCTCTCCTTGGAGAGTAACACCTTCCTACTCTCACAGCTTCCACATCATCTCAGCACCAACAACTCTGGCCCACATTGCAGTCTGGCTGTCTCCTCCTTCTGCAGCATGAACTAGCCTGACACACTGAGGCCAAGGAAAGCTTACAGGAATTTTTACATCGCTCAACTGTAACTCAGCTGCAATGTCAATATGAATTTGCTGTCAGCTTTGATGCATCTTCTTCAAGGCTCCCGTGGGTGAGGAACACCTCTGACCACAGGAGCTCATCCTGTTAACAGCGAAGAAAGTGTAAGCCAAGTGGTGCCTGTTCGCAGTGACTCACCCTGGGATAAGGAAGGCCACTGGTAGTGTTGAAGGCCGGTAGGAGTTTGTAACCCAGCTGCTTTGCCATTTGGAGAAGTTCATCATTATACCACTGCATGTATTCACCTTTTTCTTTCAACATGATTGCCAGTGAGTGTCCACCCAAAAGACCCCTAGGATCACAGAGACAAAACATTATCTGCAGTTTAATTAAAGATATTTACAAGCTACTATCTGAGAAGGTGAGAGCATTTGTTCCCAACAATTTGCAAATGTAAGATAGGCTACAGAATGATTTAATTCTTTTTTACCAACTACTCATTTAGTGACAAACTATTATAATCACATAGCTAATATATTAAAACAAACAAACAGAAAACATTAGGGGCTGGCAAGAAGGCTTAGTGAATAAAGGCACTTGCTAAAGACTACAGACTAGGAGTTGGAATCCCAAAACCCACTTACTACAAGTAGAGAACTTACTCCTTCCTACAAGTTTTCCTGTAGGCTCCTCCCTAGATACACATAACATATAAATGGATGCAAAAATATACACACTATTATAAAGAACCTGCACTTTCAAGTACCTTAAAATTTCTTAAACCAAAGTACACCCTAGACAGTAGTTTAACAAATGAGTAAATGTTTTTAAAATGAATTTAAAGTTTTAATTTTACCACCATGAAAATCTTTAACTCTTGATGTACCATTGAAAACTTAAAAACACCTTTTACCTCATTAAAAAAGCTAATAATCTCTAAAAAGCTATCTTAGACTTCTTATATTTAATTGAAGAGTAGCTTCAACAAGGAGATGGGACAGAAAATTACGAAAGCTAATAAACATAAACTTACCTAATGTTGGGATGAATTAATTTTATAAGCTCACACTTTTATAATCTCACAAGGGTATGTCTTATTGTCTGAGGAGCAAGCCTGTAAACTGAGTCTCATGTGGCTTCTCTGCAGAGGCTCCTGGCTAATGCTGGCCAACTGTGGAGACTCTTGGAAACCTCTGAAGGAACTAACAGAAAATGCGTTCAACCTACACACACTTCCTTTTCACACTTGGATCACCTGTGGTGTGAGTCTGTCTCTGAAGACTGTTGTGTCAGTTACAGCATAATACGGCCTGTTCACTATATTCCAAACTTTCTCTTTTCTTTTTTTTTATTTTCTTTTCTTTCTTTCTTTTTCTTTTCTTTTCTTCCTTCCTTCCTTCCTTTCTTCCTTCCTTTTCTCTTTTTGGAGGTGGGGCTCACTCTAGGCTGGGCTGGCATGGGACTTACTATGTGGCCAGGCTGGTCCTAAACTTCTCACAGTCTTCCTGTTGCAGCCTCTAAGTGTCAGAATCACAAGTGTGAGCCACCATGCCTGGATTTCAATTTTTTTACTGTTATATGAATGGTTGTTTTGGTGGCTGGTGAATGTCTGTCTATCACATGCATGCAATGCCCTTGCAGTCCAGAAGAGGGTTGTGTACTTACCCAAGAACTCTGATGTTTGTTTCAAAGACTGATACAACTACATCATTATCTAAATTAACATCTCTTAAAACTTTTCTCACTGCATCTTCAAATTCCTTGGTTTTGTTTAATACCTAGTGGAAGAGAAGATGACATAACATTCTTTTCTACCAAGTCAACAGAACACTATACTCAGAATGAGATACTTGAATCAATGTTAGCATACTTTAAGAGTCAGAAAAATGAGGCATACAAACTAGTATATACCCTTAAGTATATTATAAAAATCTGATGTCTAAAACTAAAAAGTAAGTGCGAACAGTGGGGAGTCTTTACACCCTGGTGTACTTTTGGGGCCTTCAACACCCATCAGAGGATTCAGACTATTCAGAATGCAGGCTGGGCAACTCTAAGTCCCAAGTCTCGAATCCAAATGCTTCAAAATCTAAAATTTTTAGGTTTTGAACACCTGGTTGGCACCACTGAAAATGTTACAGATTTCAAACATTTTAGATTGTTGGGTTAGGAATGCCCAGCCTGTAAAGCTGTTGACATGTTCCAAAATACAAACTTCTGGAACCAAGTGATTCAGATAAAGGGACCCTTTTTCATAGTTAGATGACAGGCAGGAATAGAGAGAGAGCTTTTCTAATGCTGGTTCTTCTTCTTCAGATACTCTTCATATCTGTTCATGCGCATACACTGTCCATGACCTACAGTTAGAGCTATATAGGTATGCTCTGCAGGGATTTGGTTTCTAAGCCAGAGCAAAGTAAACAGCCATCCTGCTCATCAAGTACTGTCTTAGGAACTAAACTCTCTTGGGCTTGCTCAGTGGGTAAAGGCACCTGCTGCCAATCCTGATGCCCTGAACTCAATCCCTGAGAGCCATATGAGAGGACAGGCCCAACCCCTGTAAGTGGTACCACACAGGGTGGTACACACACACAAAATAAACAAACACATAGCTATGTAAAATAAGAAACTGCCTACTCCAAAGAAAGTACTGTCTTCACCCAGCTGAGCCTTCACCGTCACCTGATGCCACCTATACCCGAAGGGCGCCCCACTGGCCAAGGAAGCAGTGTGACATTACTGTCAAGAACAGGTCTTAATCTGAGTTCTAGTTCTCACCTCAGTCACTTGTGAGTCAAGCCAAGCTACTTCCATATCTGAGCATATTCCTTCCTCTATAAAGGAAGGAGGTACTGCCCTATAGCACTGTTTTCTTAAATAAGATTATGTGTGCAAAATATTGTAACCGATGTCTGACTTAAGTGCTGAACAACGAGTGTTTAATATCATTACTATTATAACCAAGCCAGTCTAGACTTGTGACTCAACTGAAACCTCAGTGAGTTTTTGGAATGAGCTCCATGAAAAGGGGTCACTGTCATTATAAAGGCTGCTCTGGATTTCCTATCTGAATTACGGACGTGATTAGGTGTTACGCAGAGACTGGATGTAATATAAGAAGTTTGCCTTTGATGGTTGAATCTTTTTGTTTAACAATACTTTGCAGTACTTTTTGAAATTTAATCTGATCCTCTTAAGCATGACAGATTCCCTATAAGCATGTGTCTAAAATTTCAAGGCAAAAAATTTAGGGCAAGCCTGAAATCAAAGACATTGGGAACCAGAGTCTGAGCTGACTAGTTTCTCTTCTCCCACTGGCCATCCTTTTTGTTACCTTGTTAATCTTCTCTACTATCTCCCTCCTAAGACTCTGCACTAAGTACAGCCACACTTCCTCCTGTGTATCCCAGGAGCTGCTTCTCTGCAAACACACACGACAGAAGCACCAACGCCAAACTTCCAAACAGAGCCAACTCTAACCTTCTCATCATTTTATGTTTACTTATCTCCTAACAAGCCAAGAAGAGAGCCTACGCCTCACCTTTCCTCTGTTACTTTTAATGTTTTAGGAACTATTGCTTTTTCAGATTGCATAACAATGTGAATTTAAAGGTGCAATGTTTTAGAGCCTGATTCTATGACAATAGGTCAAAACTAGTATTTTGAACAATTTAAATTTAAAAATCAAATTATAGCAAGAGAAACTGACTTTATGTTACAAACAAAATAAAAGTGGTTGTGTTCTGTACTCTAGTCACTGTAAGTGATATGCTATTATTTTCAAATCGCTAAATCACAGATTTAAAAAATAATAATTTAAAAGGCAAATTTAATTAGAAACCCCAGTATCCGTATTGATAAAAACATGCAAAATAAAAAAAAAAAAACATGCAAAATAATATCACCTCTAAATGCAGGAAAACCTATGAAAATACTCTATTTTTCTCTAATTCTGTTTAAACTCAAAAGAAAATCCTTAGGATAATGATTCAAAATTCAAAATGAATTTGTTCATTTCCAGTATGATGGTGATCTGCGGTTATTTTGTTTCTTCTCACTTGAGAAGACTGAAATTAAATATTTTATAAAACATGTTTCATTTATTGCGTGTGTATGCCTGACACGTATGCCGCAGTGTATGTGTCCAGGTCAGGGGACAATTTGCGTAAGTCAGTCCTTTCCTTCCACCACGTGGTCCTGCTTGTCAGGCTGTCGGGCTTGTTGGAAGGTGGTAAACGCTCCTTCTGAGCCCTCTCACCAGCCCACAATAATTTGTATTTCTAACTAGATCCCAAATAATGCTGTTACTACTAGTCCAGGCATCTTACTTTGAGAACTAATGACAAACTCTTTAAAAGTACAATCTGAAGAATATGATTCATAATAATTTGTGGCCATCCAATTAGAGAAGTTGATAGATTTCTAAATGCAGGAACATGCAGCCTAGAACCACCCTATCTCCTTCATGCCTGAAAATATTGTATAAAGCGATAACAATAACTAAAGTCCATGAAAATAAGTTAAGAACTTGGAAATGAGGGGCATCTGCCATCTGAAGGAATGAAGCTAAGATGACAAACGAGGAAGAAATGCCAGCGCTCCTCTAGTGCTGTCACTCACAGCTCCTGCTTCTCACCCTCTCCTCATCCCAAAGACGCCCTGTGCCTCACTCAGCTACGATTACACATCATACCATTCCATCTCCTAGATAACAGCTGTGCCTTCCAGAGACTGTCAAGCTCCAGAGCACACTCTTCCTGTCTGCTGGACAGTCTGTGCATCATCTCTCTCTTCCCCTGGGCCCACTCACTCAGAGGCACTAACAGCACCTTTTCAGAGTCCTTATAATGTAGTTTGTACTTTTCACTCATGCTGGCTAAATGAAGTTGTCACTTTCAAACCTCCAGCCCAACACAAAGGTCTCAACAGTCAGTTCCACCTCGGCTGTATTACAGTCAGAGAGAGGCAGTCCTGACGCTTCACCAGAGCAAAGAGCAGGGACTCAGTTGGTATCTCTCTCTCTCTCTCTCGCTCACTCTCTGACTGCTACTATCACAGTGAGACTTCTGTCCCAAAATTAAGAACGTGCTGCAAGGAAAATGTAGAAACACTATCCAGGAGTAAAAACTTTCTGCTACTTGAGAGATGGTTTTATCGTGTTTTATTTAGTACAAATTCGCACTTATAATAACTTACAGTACAAAATTAGCCCTTAAAGAAAACCCTTAAAAGAAGCCCATTTCCACAATGTTCTAATGGTAAAAACACTAGGAAGTACTTCAGAACCAGGGCATCTGGGACACAACCTTGCCCCTCTGCCACCACAGACACCTCTGAAGCTAATACTAATTAGCACGATCTCTACAACATAAGGGTTGGAAGGGAAAAACCATTTTTCCTTGTGCGTAAGTTTCAGTATCGTGCGGCATACTGCCATGGAGCAAGAACAGTATCCCATTTTTCCAAAAGAACTTCTTTCAAGAGCTTCACGCTCCTTACCCAAGGACTGGGGAAACATGTGAACTCACTAAATTATTTGAGAATCTCTATTCTGCTACATGACTGTACTTGACAATAATTTAATGTAACTCAGTAACACTAAAGCTTTATTAAGAAGCAAAAATTTGGACATTTTGAATTCTTATGGCTTCTATTCCATACATAATATGCTGACTACATTTATAATACTTGAGTGTGGATATCATAAAACTTATAAAATAAGTGATTCCAAGAAAAGTGGAACTTACCACAAGCGTATCCAAAGAATCGATCAGTGTTAGGGAAAACCTAAGAAATAAATGTAACAACATATATAACACTATATAAGCAGCTCTTCCATGTATCCACACTGCAATGTGACCTATACAATAACCAAACAATCTGAAACGTCCTATGTATCACTGAAGATGCATAGAAATGTTGTTGGCTCCTTTTAGAATGAATAAAACATTAAAACTTAATGCTAGGGGCCCAATTCCAGCAGCACAAATAAATTAGTAACTGTAAATCAAAACATGCCACATATATAAATACATGTGTGTGTGTGTGTGTGTATATATATATATATATATATATGCAGTGATATATACACACATATATATATACGTGTAGTGATTTCTTATAATATGGTGGTGACTTCATATGCATTTTAAAGATTACATAGTTTTTTTTTTAAAGATTTATTTATTTATTATTTATACAGTATTCTACCTGTATTCCAGAAGAGGGCACCAGATCTCATTATAGATGGTTGTGAGCCACCATTGCTTGGAATTGAACTCAGGCTCTCTGGAAAAGCAGTCAGTGCTCTTAACCTCTGAGCCATCCCTCCAGCCCCAGTTACATAGTTTTTAAAGTTTCATCCAATTTAATAAGCTAACTTTTCAAAAAATAAAAACGCTAACTTTTCTCAGATATAAGAAATGTTATTTTTTTAGAATATGAAAGAATAAAAGACCTTAATATAATGTTTGAGGTAGGTTTTCCTTTACTTTCTTTTTCTAAGGGATTCTTTAAAATCTGGTCAACTGTGAGAGTAAGAGGGCTTGATAGGTGAAAGCGTTTCAATCCCCACATGGTAAAAGAAGAAAACTAACTCTTGCAAATTGTTCTCTGACTTCCACATGCATACCACAGCACGTGTAAACATGCACACACAATAAACAAATGCAAAAAGAATTTAAAGTTGGCAAAATCTCAGAAATGTGACTGAATTTTCTTTCCAAGCGGGACCTAGCTACTCTAAACCGCCACGCTATGCCTTCTGCTCATACTCACTTTCCCAAGGCATCATCTACGTCACCCCGGCTTGGCTCCTGGCCTCTGACACGTCCTCGACAGGTTAAAGGCATGAGTTCATCAGCTGGGTAAGCATGTTCCTACAGAAAAATCTTAATAAGTTACTAAAGAAAGTGAGAGAAAGCATACATCATTTAGAGAATAGGACTAGTACTTAAAAGGCGGATTATCTATACAATTTGTAGACAATTCAAATTTTTAATTTAAAATGTAATGCATGCTTGAAAAAAGATATTAAAATTTCTTTTAAAAATTGTTACTCTGGCTGGGCAGTGGTGGTGCATGCTTTTAAATCACAAGCATTCAAGAGGCAGAAGCAGACAGATCTCTGTGAGTTCGAGGCCAGCTTAGCCTACAGAGAAAGTTCCAGGACAGCCAAGGCTACACAATAAAGCACTGTCTTGAAAAACATAAACCAAACAACAACAACAACAAAAAAAAAAAAATCTGAAAATCTGATTTCCCTCCTTGAATCTCACTCTCTACAGATTATCACCATTAAAACCAGGCTCTGGCCTTTAAAATCATGTCTTAATAAGTCAAATACATGTACATGTATCATTTATAACATTTCTTTTTGAAACAGGGTCTCACTAGATAGCCCAGGTTGGCCTGTTACCGGCAATTCTCCTGCCTTGGCCTTCTGAAAACTGGGATTACAAGTACATACTGCCATGGCCAGATAAGAGCTGGGACTTCAACACCACTCACATCACGTTAGTGGAGCTTCCTGAATGCAGTCCTTTCTCCTAGTAGGTTCTCATACAACTGTGTACATGCATTGTTGGGTGTGCAAACCCTCAGTCATATCTCATATTAAGCAAGCACTCTACCAGTGATTGGTCACATCCAGAAAGTGTATTTATAAACAGGCACTTATGCCATCTATACTCAGTGGACTCACTTATTTTATATTTTATTCAAAACACAAGGTACCTCTGTGGTAGGTTGAATGTGAATGGCCCCCACAGGCTCATATATTTGAACGTTTGATCCCCAGTTTCAGAAACTGTTTGGGAAAGAACTTTTTGGAGAAAGAACGTTGGAGGAGTAGGCTTTGTGTTTCAAAAGCCCACATCAGGCTCAGTCTGTCTCTCTGCCCATTACTTCCAGATCAGATGCGAGCTCTCAGCTGCTGCTCAAGCACCACACTTCCTGCCAGGATAATAGACTAACCCTCTGAAACTGTAAGCAAGCCCCCAATTAAACGCTTCCTTTTACAAGTTGCCTTGGCCATGGTGTTTCACCACAGCAATATAACAGTAATTAGAATAACGTCTCCATCATGTTTGAATGTTTTAAAAATATTTTAATAACAAAGTGAAGTCATAACTCATATTTATTAAGTTCTTATTTTCTACCTCTATTCTATACATGAAAACAGTTTCTGAAGGAGATTCAATTGTCTTCATTTCGCAGGGGAAACTAGGACCCAGAAACATCACGTAAGCCTAGGTTAACAGCTGATGTGATGAATCCAGAGTTCGAAGCCTGGTCACCTGAGGAGTTGACACCCTCACCGTGACCGGCTCCTCACAAGGTTGCACAGTGTGGATACACTTACTTATTCCTGTATGGATAAACATGAAGAGTGAGCTAACAAATGTCTGTGGACATGCTATCTTTCATACATGTATTATTTCTGTGGATCGCTTAAAAGTTGATATGAGTCAAGGGGCTATTGAATTTTTGATAGTTACTACCAAGTACAGTATTAATTTACTATTTACTTCACTCTTAGCATGAAATGACTAATGCTTTATATTTTGCCAGTCTCCAGGGTTTTAAATAAAATGCCCAAATTCCAGTATGAATAAGGGTACACATCTTCTTATATTAGCCACTCTGAAGAAATGCCTGTTTATACCATTTATTTTTCTAAAGGCTAATGCTGTTGCCAAAAGAGATTCAATAACATGGTTTGTTATATACAATTAAGTATCTTTTATCCTTTGTTTAGTTTTTAATTTCTATTTGTAGTGTTTTCACTACAAGCTCTCAGGATGTAGGTAAATCTATTCATTTCTCCTTTCATGGTTTCTGTGTTTCAGGAATGCTGTACCAGGCTACTCTGGGTCCTAGAAACATTATTCATATACACACACATACAAATATGTCCATATATATACACGGACTACAATTAAGTGTTTTCTCCATCTGGAATTCACTTTCTTTCTAATGTTTAAAACTATTTGTTCCCTCACACGTCAATCTTCTAAAGTCTACATTTTAAAGAATTCATTCTTTCTCAGTTATATGAAATACTACCAAATTAGCGATGTAACTTAAGAAACTGGTTATGACATAAGGGCTAAAGATGTCACAAGAGAAAGTAATCCTGCAAAGGAAATCCTAGACATATTTCATGACACTAAGAGAGCAAAGTATCAAATGCCTGATGCTCATCCAGAATTAGAAAGGAACGAGACTCCCCACACCCGCCCAGAAACATGCTTGTCCTGTGTCTTAGGAGAGCAAGCACTGCTGAGCCCCCAGGAAATACTTCACACAAACGACAGAGGCCATTTTTCAACAGTTTAAATATTAAAAATACTTAATATTAGGTTCCTACTTTTCTCCTTCATCCATAAGCACTGGAGAATTTTGAGAAAGGCCATGTGTTTGGTGTTCCTGATCTCTATTTTTCTTCTGCTACACACTATGCATTTGGAGTCCAGGTCACTGAGTTATATGAGAGGCATACAGGGGCTCAGACACACAAGTGCAAATATTTCTGCTGAACTTTAAAAGCTAAGAACTCTACGGGAAATTGAGTAATAAAACAAGTCACACACAGCACACACATCAGACTACTGGAAATTTTCCACAGAAATACCCAGCAAGTGCAAAAGGATGGCAGAACTGTCTTCAAGTCTCTGAAGGAAAGAAAATATGTCTGTTGTAAGCACTGCACGCTGTTCAGGTGTCCTCCAAGTAAGGGAGGAGACAACCTACCAGAGAAATAGAATACCTATGACATGTTCAGACCCAGGAAACTTCCTGAGGAAATGAGGCAACCAAGAGGAAAATCAAAATCAAAACTCAGGAATGGCGAAACTGAGGAATGAAATCAAAACTCAGGAAAAAAGAATAGAAGAATGACGGGGGTCGACTCCCCTTGAGAGGGTTCTAACACTGACCATGCCAGCAATGGTTTCCAGAGCCCAGTGCAAATGTTATGACCCTTCAAAGCTCTCTGTCAAAAGTCTCAATTTCGGGAGATGGAACAACAGTTAAAGGCACTTGCTGTTTGTCCTGGTAAGTTTGCCAACATAACACAAGCTAGAGCCATTTGCTACAAGGGATTCTCAACTGAGAAAATGTCTCCATAAGATTTGCTTTTAGGCAAGTCTTCTTCATTTTCTTATTATTGGTATACGTGAGCCCAGCTCACTACAGATGCTTTCACCCATGGGCAGGTGGTCCTGGTGGTATAAGAAAACAGGCTGAGCAAGCCATGGGAGAGCAAGACAGTAAGCAGCACCCCTCTGTGCCCTGTGTCATTTCTACCCCAGTTCCTGCCCTGACTTCCCCAGATGACATGCTGTTAGGATGAAATCATTCCTTTCCTCCACATTGCTTTTGGTGGTGGTATGTTACCACAGCAGCAGAACCAGACTAAATGACTGCTTTTCCAAAGGACCAGGTCCAGTTCTGACATCCAGGAGGTGGCTCACCTCCACCTTTAACTCCACTCTCAGGGACTGGACACCCTCTTCTGGCCTCCATGGACACTGCATGCATATGGTACACTTAGACACATGTGGGAAATACATTTATACACATAAGAATAAATAAATATTTTTTTAAATTCTCAGTTTTTCTATACACTTGAGTGTGTGGTTGCAGTCACCAACACTGTTTGTATTTCTTTTTAGAAAACTGATGTTCCGTAATGATTCATCCTGAGATGATTCTAGGCAACAAATATTTTGACATAATTAGAATCCATATATAGTCACCACATTCTGAATTTTATACTATATTAACAATTTTTTAAAAATACATATTTCAGCATAAATTTCTAAATATTTTTATGTGTCAATCTCAGTATAGCTGATTCTCCAGAGTGCTTATAATTTTATTGCTTTGCTATGAATTTAATACATGTAAGTTATAAAAGCAAAAAAGTTTAAAGTTGCTTTAATACTTTGAAAGTTATTTTGTAAAAAGACAAAATTTTAATTTTATAGTAAACAGGTCCTTACTATTTTAGAAACCTCATACTGCTATTTTAGAGTTCTATAAAACAAAACCATAAATGCTTTTATCTGAAATTGAATGTAAATCTAAATTCCAAATTAAATATGAAAATTCAAATGCTGAACCTACAGAGATAGTAAAAATATCCATAACAAATACAAAGCAGAATAATCAAAGTAACTTTGAGCTAAGGTGTAAAAAATACTTCATGATCTTCGTTTCAAGATTAAAGATAAAAATAAAACCATGGCCTTCCTTCAGGTTAACCACAAAGCACACTGCAGGGAGTTTGCACAAGGCCCGAGCAGGCACACAAGGCAACAAACAGCTGCAGCAGGCTCCAGATGGCCTGACTGTGTGAAGCACAGCAATGTCTCCTCTTCGTGTGTTGCCAGAAAAGGAGACACAATCCTGTTAACCCAACCAAGAGTCGTGAAAACACTTAACAATTAGTTATAACTCAGAAATGAAATCTGGGGATAAAAAAAGAGTCTTGCAGAAACTACGTAGAGAAAGTACCTGACTAAAAGCAAAGGAGGAGGGGAGCTAAAACACAAGCTATAGATTCTCCATACTAGACTCCCAATTTACTAGGGGCTCTGACATAAAAAACTCAGCTATAGAGTCCAGTCAAAATGCCAGCCTGAAGACTTTTTAGTAACACTTATTATAAATATTTGGTAAAGGGAAGACATTTCATCCTACTAAAAATAACAACTAAAATCATAATCATTATTGAGCCTAAGTAGGTAGAACAATATTCACAAAGACTTAATATTAAGAATTGGTTCTCAGCAGACCATGGTGGTACACACCTTTAATCCTAGCACTTAGAAGGCAGATGCAGGTGGATCTCTGTGAGTTCAAGGCCAGCAAGCAAGTTCCAGGACAATCTCTGGTGTTACATAGAGAAACCCTGTCTTGAAAAAAAAAAAAAAGAGGACAGGAAAAAAAAATGAAATCAGTTCTCTCTACAAAGATATCAGGGTGCACACCTGAGATTCCTAGCACTTGGAGGAGGATCAGAAGTTTAAGGTGATCTCTGGCTACAGAGTAAGTTCAAGACTCTGTCTCAGGGAGGAAAAGGAAAGAAAGAAAAAGAAAAACAGAAAAAAGAAATTCTCTCCAAATTGTTCTGTTGGTTCAACATAACCCCAAACAGGAGCTGGTTATTGTTTGAGTAGAAATTGGCAATATGGTCTTGAATTTTACATAGACATGCAAAAAATAGCCAAAAACAATCCTGGAAAAGAAAAACAAAGCTGGCACACTCACACTGCTGAGCTGAGAATGCATCACAAGGGTACAGAAATATATATAATAATGTGACATTGGTCTGAAGTAGCTACAAAGCTCAAAGCCTAGAGAGCCCATCTACCTACCTACCTACCTTCACACCCACCCACACACCCAGTCAAACCATTTCTGTGTACACAGGCGTCAGAGCAATTGCGTAGGATCTGGCCATTCATTACAACAATGGCGCTATAATAACTATTCATACATGAAAAAAAAGTAAGCCAACCCTTATGTCATCATATGCAAATATTAACTCAAAATGAGTCATAAGTCTAAGTGAATAAACTAAATTTATAAAAACATCTAGAAGCAAAAAAAAAAAAAAAGAGAAAAGAAGTTTTGTGATCTTGGACTAGGAAACTATAAAAACATGAAAAATTTTTAAATAAAACATTAAATCAGATTTGATAACATTTTAAATTATTTCTACCTCAACCATCACTGCTGGAAAAATTAAAATTCAAGTACAAACTAACATTTAAAAATCCATAAAATATGATAGAGGTCTCATATCTAGGATATAAAATAATTTTCACAACCTAGCAATAACAGGACAAAGGATGAGCTTAAAATTAAAAACAAAAAAACAAAAAACAAAACAAAAAAAAAAACTTGTAACAGATGATTCTTCAAAAAAGATACACGAATACAAACTAAATGCATGGGAAGATTTTTCAACAGCATTAGTCACCAGGAAAAATGAAATTAAAGTCAGCGAAACACTACCACGCGCCCACTAGAGGAGCTAAAATTAGGGACTCGACAATAGCAGTCTTTGAGAGGATGTGTAGTAACTGCGCATGCCCTGCTGGTGGGAAACGCAAAACGGGAAGTCTGGCAGTTTGTTCCAGCGCAAACCCTCTCACCAGATGACCTAGTGCCCTTTCTAAGACACTCTGCTTCTAGGTGATGAGTACGTGATGAAGAAAGAAAGATCCAGTGTGGAGCTTCATGGAAAAGATGCTCTAGACCAGCAGCTCCCAACCTCCCTAACGCTGGGACCCTTCATACAGTCCCTTATACTGTGGGGACCCCCAAACCACGAAATCGTTTTTGTTGCTATTTCATAACTGCAATTTTGCTACTGTTGTGAATCGCAGTGTAAATATGTGAAATGCAGGATAGCTGATGTGTGACCCCTATAAAAAGGTCATTTAACCCCCAGAGGGGTCATGACCCACAGGTTGAGATCCATTGTTCTAGAGACAAATGCCAAGAACTGTTTTTTCTAAAAATGACTAAAATGGTAAATTAGGTGTTGTGCACAAATAATGTGTTGTAAAATAAATTTTCGAAATGGGAAATGGACATAGATCTGGAAATCCAATGCAACTACATTTTAAAACGGCTCTTGGAGCTTCATAACGAAAACTAATCGGCTGGGTGTGATGATGCACATTTTACACAGATGAGAAGGCGGGCTCTGAGATCAGGCTAGCCTTCCCTTCTTAGCCAGGCTGCTAGGTGGCACACTCTCCTCAGGGCATCCTCTTCCAGGCCCCAAGTCCATGCTCCTAACTACTCTCCACTGCCCATCTTTCAAAAATGCCATTCCTTCCTCTGCGCCAGGCAGAGTCAAGCAGCTGCTGCGGTTGTAGAACGGACTGACAGCAACACTGCAAACCACTGGCGAGAAAGGCGGACAAGCCCTGTACATTATTAAAGCCTAACACAGAGGAGTCACTTTCCACTCACTACAGCCAATTCAAGGAAGTCTGCAATCCTGAAATCCTCCATAACGTTCCATTCTAAAAGAAGCTTCTTTTCTTTAAAAGAAAAAGACTTAATAAAAGTTTAAAAGGCAAGATGTATCAAAATAATCAAATGCAAAAATATGTGATTTCATTTGCACAAGAATTCAGTTTTGTTCTTTAAAAAATATTTAAATAGGTACTTAGGTGTCCAAGTACCATGCTAGGCACAAGACATACAAAAGTTGACTGCATTACAAATTAAAAATAAAGAAGGGTCTCTGTGTTAAAAAAAAAAAAAAAAATCTTATGGTCTACAATAATTCTCTGCAATTATCCCCATCTTTCAAGACCTGACTCAAAGGAGTTAACGGGTCAGTCTAGGATGTAAGTGAATAAAAACACAGAACTGCCATCCAACCCTAAAACCTACATACCCGAAACTCCTCTCGCTTCAACCCTATATGTAGTTACTTTTAGAAAAGTTACCCAGCTGGGTCACATTAGTAATTGGGTCAGAAAATCTTGTGAGGGCTGCCCTTGGTACCCACTCTGTCTGTCACAAGCCCACTGAGTACGTAACTGATAGAACTTTCTGCAGTTTACCTAAATGGGTGGAATATTAACAGTACCATAGTTTATAAGGAGAGGGAAAGTTTTGCATAATCTCCTGGCATATTTTAAATGTAAAAATAAGGAAATGAGAAGAAATCCTCAGCACAACTTGGTTAAATTCTTTACAAAATTAAAGAAATCTTATGCAAAACTTTCTTTTGAACTCTTAAACTTTGTTGGCTGTTTTATCTACCTTTCTGTGTTCTAGATCCCTAGAATTTCTCATCGTGAACAGTGGAAGCTGCTTCTTCCACTGTTACATCTTACAGCAGCTCTAAAACACTCTGAAACACTGGCTCAGGAGAAGCCAAAGTGCATTCAATTCAGAGTCCACTCACTCATAACATCTGGACAGATGCTGGGTGATACTATCTCCTAGTCAATGGTTTGCTTCATGGATTTGTAAAGTAATATAGTTATTCCTAAACAATATCCCTTAAAGCCAGAGACAATGTCTTCTTCCTGTTTACCTATGCACATTATCAACCGCTGCCAGCACCTAAGTAAACTGCTTAAGTACAAACTTTCATGATCTGGTTTCAATTTCTTACCTATTCAATGAATTGATTCCCTGAGAATAACCACCAGAAATGCTCTGCTAGCTTACATTTGTCCCGCTTTTTAAAAGCTTTCTTTAAACATATACATTAGTTATTCAGGTTTCAAAATGTCCCAGCTAACTGTGTACAGTCAGTGCCTATAAATGGGGTGCACAGGGGGGCCTCATACTCACCATATAGTTGCCATAAGCATGATCAAACATTTCCAGGACTTGATTTCTAATTGTGAGAAAACAGAGAGGGAGAAAAGTTATGTATATTCCATCTACTGTACTTCAGAAACATAACTCTCCTCCATAAAAGCATACCAATAAAGACATAGAACAAGCTAGGGTACCACAGTGTGGGTAGAGAAGCCTCTACTGCCACACCACAGAGCTGGGCCAAACCTTTACTCCTCCTAGTCCTAGCAATGTATGTAAGACTTCTGGTTGGTTTGTTTCTAAAAAAAAAAAAACTATTGAATGATCCATGTCATGATGGCAGAGAAGGAAAGCTGGTCTTAGAAAAGAACACTACAGCTATTAAAATATATTCTCGGACTGGGATGTTTCCAGACAATCCTCAAAGCAACAATTATTAGCACCATTTATTGCTTATTCTATATAGTCTACTAAGGGAAGTGGGATGTGTATACTAATATGAAATAAAAATATTTTCTCAATCCTCTGCCTTTCCCATTAAACTGAGTAAAAACCATTAATGCCTAGTTAAGTATATACGATGCTTGTCCTGTTTCCAAAAGATACACTTTCTGATGTACTCTGCTCTCTTAAAAACACTCTCAAAAAATAAAATTCACTTCAAAAATAAAAACTCAAAGGGAGACTTCTAACTTTCAGGAGGCTGGGACTGCAAGATCACCGTACCCAAACCAGATTCACTAATCAAACCCCACAAGGTCTCAGAAACTAACGAATGACCCTCACAATGAAACATTCTCATGACCAGGGCTAGAGCGCTCCTGCAAAAGCTAATGTGAGAGCCAGACAGGGCCAAATCCAATAATTAGCAAAGAAAAATAGCAAGCAAGTCTTTTACTAACTCTTCTCTTCCCAAAGTTCCAGTTACTAAAATCAGGAATAGAAAGAGTAGAAAGAAAATGGCTGGCTATCTTTATTTCCCTTCCTATTATACTATATTGTCATTTACAGAACAATACATGATGAAATACCGATAGTAATGAAGCTAGCAGGCAGAAAAAGCTCATCCTCAGACCCTGGCTGTAATGGCCAGCTAGGTCAAGTACATTTCATTTTGTGACCTAAATAAGTCCTGGCAACTTTTTTATAACTACTTTCAAACACCTAGCCATTAAAAACAAGACCTTGGCTAGCAAGGTGGTCGACTGGGGAAAGGCACGTGCAAAGAGTCTGGCAAGCTCCCACGGGGTGGAAGGAAATAACTGATTTCTGCATGCTGTTCTGTGACTCCATGTGCCGTGGCACACTTGCACACACACACATGTAATTAAAAAGAAAAAACTCCCTACTACTGTGTTAAAATCCTGTGCCTTTACACAGACGCAGGGAATTTCAGAGAGTTAAGGGATATCTTACAGAATCCCTCATCTTGCAAATGATAAAGATCTCTCAGACAGCAGCAAAGTCAAGGCCCCACAAACCTGCCAGCACTGACATAAAAATGGGATGTGCAAACTCTTCCTTCCCTGAAGTAGAATAAACCATTAATATCAAAAAAGGAAATTGCTTGTCTCTGGGAATGCTAGAGTCTAGGGTGAATCACAAGTGAAAAAACTCTAACTTGCTTACTCAACTTTGAATTTTCCAAATTATGAGTAAATTATGATTGCAAAGAAGAGCACACTTGCTTCTCTGCAACATACAGCCAGTAAAGTCCCACAATATAAACTTCAAAGTGGACATACTACAAACAGCACAGTGCCTGTATTAAAGTTAAAAAGTTTTTATACTTTTATATCAGCTTAGCAACTGTGTAAGATATAATGGAACTCTGACCCCCCCCCAATTAAAAATGTTTTTCATTCTTAATTGCTATAAATGGTTTTCTAAAGTCACATTGCCTCCTAACATCAATAGTAGCTGCACTGATCTACAATCAGAAATACCAGGAAATCTCCTGTCCAGGGGAAAAAAAAATTCCATGAAAGATAAGACTACATTTGATCAGGTATTAAGTCCAAGCAACTGAGCAACTGTTCACAGCAATTCCAGAGGGTGGGTGGGTGCATTTACACCTTAGTCTTTTGAGACTGAACCTGGGGCTCACTGATTTGTCTAGGCTGGCTGCTTGCCAATGACTCATATAAAAATGTTAATAAGTCAAATAAAATATTTGCAGCTATAACAGAAATAATATTTGCCCCCCAAATCTTTTAGTATAATTTATTCACTTTGTATCCCTGCTGCAGCCCCCTCTTCGCTACCCCCCAAAATCTTAAGAAAGCACAGCACTGTGTAGAATATGAGCTATGAGGTCACAGGCTAAAATATATATATGTAACAAAACAACAAACCTGACTCCACCTATTACCAGCTCTGAGCCTCTCAACAAGTTAACCTTGAATCTCAATTTCTGCATTTGCACTTGGAGATAGCATCCACCTCGTGATGAGATAACAATTTTAGAAATGGCATGAGTTAAATGCCAACAAAGCACGGGAGTCATTAAAATGTCATAAAATAATATATTAAACTTACAAAGGAAAAAAAAAAGCAAGATACTAGAATTCACTGGTAATTTTGTTTGCATAACTGACACTTCATCTTCTTTTCCTCAGATTTTCATTTGCTCCTTTATTAAAAAAATTAATACAGCTCTTTTACAATGATGGAAATAAGGAAGCATACATGTTAGAACCTAATGGCTCCACTTCCTTTTCATTTTAACATTATGGGGTATGTTACCTTTTATTTTTTCTAAGGTCAGGCTATATTTTTTTTGCTTATAAAATGGTGTGTTTACTATTTACATATTACCCTATAACTTGTGTTAGTACAGGACTCTTCCTAAATGTATGAACATTATTCCGTAATATAGAACGAAACCTCAAGTTCAACCATGTCCCTCCCAGGACCCGTTCTGTTCCTTCCAAAGCACCCCTTTATCCACTTATCTCTAACAGGGCCTTTATTTCTGCAGGACAGATCCCCAGGGGAAAAAATGAATCAAAGAACAAGCACAATTTAAAATTCAGGAGTTGGTGTCAATAAGTCACATGACTTACACTCCTACCCAGTTCTTTCACGTCTTCGCTAGCCAGTGCTGCATCCTGGTGCTTTGTGCTTACTATCCAGGCAAGCAAAACCCACCCACCTCTGTTTGAATAAGCATCTCTCACAATTAACTCTTTCTGCTACTGACACGCATGCATTTCCTCTTCCCTCACTTAACTGTTCACGGGTTTTGCCTATTTCCAGAGATCTCCACTTTGTTCTTAGTCAGTGGTGCCACTTCGGATACATTAGAATTACTGGATTAAATGCTATAAATAGAGTTTCGTTAACACTTTTTAAGACTCATAGAACTACTCTAAGGGGGTACACTTTCAGCGAGGCCTTTGCATAACATCAAATCGCCTGCTCCATTTCAAGAATGCTGTGTGGGAAAGAAAACACAGCAAGGGGACGGTGAAATCGGAAAAGTTCAACTTCCAGTGAACGCCCCTTTTCCTTTAACAGGTGTAAACACCGCACATTTTCCCGCTGGGAGCTCACTTGGGCGAGAACTGTAACCCTGCCTCAGCCAGAAAGGCGCCCCCAGGACCCCGCTACCCAGGAGGTAGGGAAGCCCCTCCACCGAGCCCTGACGCGGCAGCGGCGCTGACACACGGCCACATATGTCACTGGCTCCCCAGGAGACACCCGACAGCCCCCGAGGTCACGTCCCGGGCATCGTCGCCCATCCTCCTGGACCCTCTCCACCGCACCGAGGTCGTCCAGCCTCACCAGCTGTTCCAGTCACCACAGAAAAAGTCCACTGCGCTCCGGGGGCGCGATGACAGGCACCTCTACTGCCGGCAGCCCCGCACCCTTACCCGAGCTTCTGCTTCTCTTCCCTACTCATGGGCGCGGCCCCCGCCGCGCACACGGACGTGGCCAACACCAGGCAGAGCGCGGCCGTCGCTGCCACCGGGCTCCATGACGCTCGCTGGGGGACCCGGCACCCACAGCCCCGGCCGCCGCCGGCTTCGCTCATGGCCCCGCGGTTCCGCGCACGCGCAGCTGCTACACCCGCACGGCGGGCCACATTGCGGGCTGCCGGCGGCGAGGAGGCTGCGAGCCGTGTCGAGGGCGGGCTGCGGAGTGAGGCTGGCGGCCGCCGGCGCCAAACTGTTTGCCGAAGCCACCGAGCCGGTCCCCAGCGCCAGCGCTGCCACCACCCTCCGCCCTCCACGACTCGGAGCGCCGCCCCCCAGCTTTCCGGTGTCGTAGTCTAGGAAACCGCCTCCCCAAGGCTATTTCCGGGTAGAGCCGAAGTGGGAGAGCCTCAGGACCAATGGAGACAGCCGCGGAGAGGGGCTGGCCGCAGCTACAGGACGGGGCATTGGCCAGGAGAAGCGGGACGTGGACAAAAGGCGGGACTGGGCAAGGAGCTGTCCCTTCGACCCACCTCCGACCCCAGGAGTTACCACCTGGGGACTACTAGTCCCAAGGTGCACCGCTTTCTCCGGCTTGCTTACAGCCCCATGCGCAGGCGCCTTGCTAAGTTTCTGCCTGGCGGCGCGCTGTGTCCTGGGACTTGTAGTCCTGTCCTGTAAAGGCCACGCAAGTTCCAGGCGTTCTGCGTTCTGCAGGACCTTCGACCAGCTCCAGTAGTACGTGGGCTGTCCAGTCCTTGGGACTCATCTGTTAGTTGCCTTTCTCTTCCTGAAGATGTTTCCCTGAGAGCAGACAGAATAAGACTTGTCCTCAGGACGGTGCCGTATGCCTTGGGGAACAGTGGGAATAGTCCTCTGCCCTCGAGAAAAAGACAAAAACAAAACAAACAAGCAAACGAAAAAGAGCAAAATGAATCGAACTTTTGACGAATGAACCGCGTGAGGGTTTTACTTTCATTAGCACATATACTCGTCTCTCATAAGTAGATGTCACCGTTCTCCTTTTGCACACGTGGAAAGCAAGGCTTGAGGAAGTTTGCAAACTAATCTTGCTCCTGGGTTACACCTCTACTTCAGAAGCTCCAGCAACTGAGCAGGACCCCAAAATGAAGGAGGGCAGGCAAAGCTAAGGACATGATTAAAAGCAGGTATCTAAAAAGCCCGTGAAAGGAAAGAAGTGTAGAATGCTAAAGTAATTTTTTTTTTTTTTTTTTTTTTAAGTTTAGCGAAGACTGGATGTTGTAATGAGTTGCAAAGGCTGATTGGCAGGCTAACCGTTGGTAAAATGACAAGTGGGTTTCTCTTGCAAAAGCACGTTTCTTTTGTGATACTTGAGCAGGTGGCTGCAGAATTGAGGAACTTGGACATGACCTCTGTGGTCACAGTAAATTTCGTATTTGTTCATTCAGCAGTACTGAACTGTCCGAAACCTCTTGATTTTAGTGCCTTACCACTTATGTCTTATCTCTCGGACCATTATTCTGGTTACAAAATAACCTTTCTTCCTTCACTCCTCCTCTTTCAAAAATGCAGGTGTTTCCTGAAGGTTTTGTTTTTACCCCTTTGCTCTTTGTACTCTTGGTTATTCTTTAGTGATTTCTGACACAGATTCAACTACTGTATCTCTCTGGTTGATTTCTAGATTTCTATCTGTCCTGATTATCAGACCTATATTCCTATCCAATTTCCTTTATGTCCGGTCCAAGAGAAACTCAAGTGTGAAATTATTTAATGTTTCAGAACTGTGTTTACTCATCCTCTTCTTTCATAGTTAGTGTCCAACCAGTTACCAAATTACAGATTCTTATCTGCTATCTTTCAGATCATTACCTTTCTGGTTCACTTCTGCTCAGTTCCAGCCCTAATTATCTCTCTGCTGAAGCATTGCAACAGCCTAAGTGACTACACTTCCACCCTGTTTTCCTCTGCACTGCCACAGAGAAGCATTCAAGGACATTTGCAGACCCTCTGAATTCCTCCTCTCTGCATTCTGTCTGCCCCTGGGACAACTAAATAAATTCTTACACCATGTCCTTTCTTTATCTTTGCTCTTCTCTCTCCTCTGTTACCCCGAAATCTTTATCTAACACCCACAGCCTCTTCAGACTTGGCTCAGATTCCATCCCCACAAAAACGGTCCTAACCCTTCCATAGAGCTCGCCACCCTTCCTCCTGGTCTTCCACTCTGCTCCGTGTCTTTATTAATGCGACTCTATGTGCACTACGTTGTGATCATTTGAAAACCCAGCTTGTTTTTAAACAGCCAGTTTATTCTAAGATGCCTAGTGCTGTGTCTCTCCTACTGTAGATGTTCAAGAAGTATAGAGTGTTTACTTATTATTCCTTCAGTTTCCTCACTATAAGGTGTAAATAATATGGTACTTTCATCTACTCGTATGGATGCTGTAAAAACACAGCTCATTTCTTTCTTTTTTTTATTTCAGTACTTTTTTATATCTATTAAAAGAATTCTAATTTGTATGTTTGCAGTCTGTTCTGGAGACTCGGGGAGGGTCTGATCCAGTAGGTAGGGTTGGAAAGAGGCCCTTTTGTCCAGGGAAGATTCTTGGGGGTTGCCAGGAACTAAGAGTGACAGGTGCCATTCAAATATATCACAAAAGTCTGAGCATGGTGGTACATACATACACAGCTCATTTCTTAATGTTTATTCATGTTACAAACCTGCAAGCCTGCATTTCTGACATCCCAGATCCTCTTTGGCAGCCTTAAAGGATGAAGTTGTCTAAGTAAATAAATTCCTCTGCATTGGTCTTGGCTGTGGCACAGAGAACAGGACAAGCCAAAGTTCAACACCAATCATCTAGTCTTTGAACATTAAGAACAAAGACAATAGAAAAACACTCAATGACTTTCAGATATATTTTCAAATCAGTTATTTGAAGTGGCTCTTTGACAATAACCCAGTTTATGTCTATTGTTATTATTAGTGTAATTATTATTATTTTAAGTCTTCTTGATGATCTAATCATAAAGACTTCTGAGCCTTTGGCTTTCGATAAGACATTAGTGATCTTGTTAAGAAATAATATACTGGGGCTGGAGATATGGCTCAGTGGTTAAGACTACTGACTGCTCTTCCAGAGGACCCAGGTTCAATTCACAGCAATCACATGGCAGTTCACAACTGTCTGTGACTCCTGTTCCAGGGAATCTGACACATGGATCACATGGATATATGTACAGTCAAAACACCAATGTACATAAAATTAAAATTAATTTAAAAAGCATTTAAGAAACAATATACTAAAAAGGAAATACTGGCCTCAGTGTTTATCATTTTCTGCATTTTTGTTTGTCTCCAAGCTAACACTGCATTTTTAAAGGGTGTAATGAGCAGCCAGAACACATTCCTTGTTGACTCACTGAATAATAAGCATCTTTTTCTCCCCTACTGTGATTCAACTTCTAGCCAATAGTTGAGTCCACTTTTCACTAACCACTGCAAAATCATAAATAGGAAAATCTGGTGTGACCTAAAAAGTATTGGAAGTTGACATCTCTAAGCTGGAGCCTACATTCATGATGGAAATACACTTGCAAAATATGTTTCAAAGTAGATTCCATTTTAACCCATTAATGGAAATAGAAATTATCTAATTGGAAACTTATGGACTCCTGAAAATTTTTACATTGGTTTAAAAACATATATGAGTAGGGTTTTTTTGTTTTTGATTTTGTTTTGTTTTAGTGATACAGAAGTTAATTTGAAGAGCTTGGAATTGTACAGAAAAAAAAATGGTGGGAAACAACCAAGGACAATAAGAGAAGAGGATTTTTTTAAAAGAATATAAACCAATTTTTAGATGCTCAGAGCCCATTAAAAATAATAACAGAGGCATTTTATAAAGTGGTGCCCTTTCACCGACTAAGAGTTTGTTTACACAGCCTTATATCTTATACAAATATATATGTTCATTTTCCTGCCTGGATGTGTCAGAGGTTAGGAGGGATTGTGGGGAGAAACTATATGGACACAGGGAGGAGGCTCGCCTTCAACCATTATGACTCAGGGAGTGTCCCGAGAGGCTGAGACCAGCTGTACAAGCCTGGTCACAGAACAGCGGTTGCCCTTAAGTTCTTTAATTCTACAGGTCTCGTTACTCCTAAAATGGAATTTGGAAGCAACTGTTTTGGCGTTCTTCAAATGACTTCCCATTTTGTTCTCCTTTCAAGATTCCCATTGGTTGATAATGCAGAATTTACAGGGCACTTTTTTCCTTGTGAAACCAAGTACATTAAATCAAGGCAACATTTATTCTACATTTACATTCGGGGACTTTAAGGCTCCAGAACGAGTATTTTATGAAAAGTACTCAGTAAATACTATGGATTGTCTCCTGGAATGGCTGACTGGCTTATCCAGATCCCAGAAAGGGAATGAGGAATTTGGATGACTCGTTCTCAGCCATGATTTGAGAGCTCCAGAACACTTGAGGTCCTTCTTGCTGCTCCTTTGATACCACACCAGCGAGTATGTCACGGTGCAAACACTTACTCCTCTGGAGCCATTCTCCATTTGCTCTCTTACGGAGGGGAAGCCCAGTTTTCCTTGGTCCTTCTCTGGACTTAAAGCCCCATTTTGCACCACCAACATGGTTCTCACTTACTGGTTCAGAGTAGCCGCAGAACTCTAGGAGGCAGAGGCAGATGGATCTCTGTGAGTTCGAGGCTAGCCTGATCTACAAAGTGAGTCCAGGACATCCAGGGCTACACAGAGAAACCCTGTCTCAAAAAACAAAACAAAATAAAAGCGTAGTCATGAGTTTTAAGTTAATACTGCTCCATAGGTTCCCACACAGGTATCATAGAGGCCAAGAGCTATGGTTCTGAGCCAGCCTGCCTCCTTTCAATCATGCTCACATGTGCCAAATATTGACACTCTTAGTGTCTTGTGCTCCTGTTTGTAAAATAAGGCTGGCTTCACAGCTCTTTAGGAAGGACTAAATGACTTGGCATCTGTACCTTTCTTTTAGGGCCTTCGTGAAGATGATAAAATAATGTATGTGTGCACAATATGTAGAAAATTTCAGAACTGCTCAATAAATAGTAGTTATTAATATTTATCACTATTATGGAACAGAAAAGTTGCCATGATGAGAGGAAGAGTCAGGGGTGGCTGTAGGTGCCCATAGCCCTGGTTCTAATCTCTGCCACAAACCTCATCCACTGCCTTGTTCTGATGACTTCATTCAGCTATCGCGGCCTCCCTGTCCTTACTCCAAACCCTCCTGGACCTGAACACTGCTCAGAGAACCACAGAT